GGGCCTCCCTCTCTCTGGAGGGTTTTCAGATTATGTTGATTTTCAAAAATGTCATCTGTTGCTTGTCATTATGGCAGACGTAGGATATTTTGGGGGAGTAGAGAAGTATCTGGTGTACGCCACACTCTATGGGGTCTTATCTATGATATTTAGGTCAATTAATGAGTCAAATTAAGGAAAAGATTCAGGCTGTCACACAGACTTTGATAGAGGCGGAGGCCTACACTCTGGTGGAGGCTGAGGCAAATATGAGCTGATGCTACATTTGAATCACAAGTTTTCCATAAATTTGAGTATGCAGTCTCCACGATCCATAGCCCATGTCACAAATATACAATCCTTATCACGAGACCAATATGTTTTCCTCTATGAAAAATATGAAACTGTTTAAAATTAGACCATCCTGTAGTGGAAGGACATGTCAGTTAGGCGTCTATTACAATAGTTGCAGTATACATAGTATTTCATGCTTTGTTCCATTCTCTTCTGCTTTTCCAAAGATCTCAATTTACCGTCATCAGGGCTGACGAACCAATTTAATTTTCAAAGTATTTTTCCTCTTGTCATTGGGTTTTCGGTTTCAAAGCACCTGAGAGGCCCCCGGCACACACAAGCCACAACTATATTCCCGTAATTAGTTTTCAGCTAAAGCATGTCTTTCAGCAGCCTATTATGTTTGGGTGTCTGTTTCCATTTTCTACGCAAGAAAAGAGTGCCCTTTGTGTCAACCCCTTTGAGTCACCTTTAATGCATTTAATGCAGCTACATGTCGAAGTGTAACCATTTACAACCAGGTCAGGCCTTTGCTGTGTATTAGATTAGGTGGAATGAAAAGAGATAGCCACAACACATAAATGTGACCTCTTACCTTACCCTTTAAAAGAACACAATGATTTACATTACCAGATCTTCGTTTTTGTTACAATAAGGATGACGTTTCACCATGACTGTGTAAACAGATTTAGGTCCTCACAACATATGTTTTTCTAGATCCCCCTCGCACACAAAGACGCAACCACACCTATGAAACATGTGAGTGGATCGCTGTACTTCATGCTCCGTATCTTGTCTGTTATAGCATATCCAATAGGTTTAAGATGATTCACAAATGAATCACTATACATCTAAACCCTAATCCAATTTTACAAGTCCCTTGTCTGACATATATACATGGCAGCAGGAGGCAGGTGGGGCACACACAATGAAGTAGAGAGGAAATTGAAGTGAATTGGTCAGATTGCATGGGATGGAAAGGATCTACATTGTGTCAGCATGAGAGATCCATCATGTGCAAAACAACACAATTAAGATTAATCAATGAATGCATCATGCAGATGATGTTTTTTTCCCTAAACCTAGTTTGGTCTTGGCTTTTACCTTGGAATACAAATCAGGGAATTAAATCTAATGAGAAGAAAAAGATTATGAAAAAGGAGTGTGAAAGAAGAAGACGGCATGTTAAAAAAAAAGAAAGCTGGAGAAACACTACAAGCTCTCTTTAGAGTCAAATTCATCAGATTAATAGCAATTACTTCCTTCATCAATTTGCATGTATGAGGCTCATTCATAAGGCATCTTCTCCTGGAGACAGGAAAAAAAAACTGTAACCAGATTCATGAGTAAAGTTTAAGGTAAGCACAGTTGTGTGTGCTTACAAATTCTTCCTTTTTTATTTGCATTGAAGACAGTTTGAACCGAAGCTAAAAAGGCAAGAAAGAACTCTCCATATGAAACATCTTATCATTAAACTAGGAAAAACAGGAGACTACAATACGTAGCTAAATCATGGGTAACCACAATGGAAACATAGATATTCTGATGGATTATGGTGCATGTACTGTTTGCTAAAACAGCTCTGTGGAAGACTATAGGACAATCCTAAGCCAGAAAATAGAAATGAGCTCTTAATGTTAGTTTTCTTTTCAGCTTGTCATTATAGAGGTCTTCCATGTTGGTTTACCCATGCAACTCTTAGAAAAATGTAGAGTACCCAAGCCTACCCAGAAGAGTATATAAACACACAGTACAAACACAAAAGAAAGACTATAAATGATGCGTTTAGGCAAGCCATCAGATTTTTTTAAATGACTTACCAACTCAAATTCTATGAAGATAAATGGGGGAAAAAGGAATGAGAGGGAAATGAGTTTTCAAATCACCGTTATTTTCTTAGGTCTTTACTCAAATCTTTCCCTCTGCATGTCTGCCACAAAAATACATGACATCAACAGCTAAATGCTCAATATGAAGCTTAAACATTGGTGTCCAGAAACCAGATGTGATGTCATAGTTTCTAACATAAGGCAATATTCTCTGTTGGAGAGAATATTTCTATGTGTTGTGTACTCTACCACTGTCTTCTTTTAGCATGCATAAAAACCCATATAGTAAGAGAGAGAGAGAGAGAGAGAGAAAGAAAGGAAAAAATAAAAAAAGAATAATTTGATACAAGGGAAAATAGTATAGTGATGTTTCTTGAAACAATTCACAGTATGCGTAAATAATTCTTTTTTTGTTGTTGTAATGATACTTGTTTTGCTCATGTTACTCACCTTAGATCAGTATTCTTTTCCATGTTGCCCAGTTCCAGCACACCTGGTTCAGATGAATGTATTGGGATCATCCTTCTGCAGGGTTAACAAACACTGCTGTGTAGATACTGCTGTTATCAGCACTGGCTTAGTTTGCATTCAGTATGGGCTTGCAGAAAGTTTTGTTTTGTTAAGATGAAAAATGGTTACCTTTTATTTGCCAGTCCTCATCTCTTCCTGATAGTTCCAGCATTTAGGTCAGTGTAGGGCAGACTATTAAGATCTGCAAAGGCCTGCTGCTTATGTGCTGATGTGTATCAGGTTTAACGAAGCAGATAAACCTCTAGAACTTGCAGGACAGTGGCCCAGGAGGCCCCAGAGTTGCCCACCCTTCATTTAGGTGGTCGACCTCTTGTTCCTCCATGTTCCATTAAAATCATGCTCAACTGGAACTCTTATGTCACTGACCAGGAGAAAAATGTTGGCAATACACCAGTCAAAAAATCTGTCTAAAAAACATGCATGGATATATACACTCACAGGCACAGTAAGATGTCCTTTTAACTCTCCGTTTGCCCTGCTAAATTCTTTTTACCCTTTATGCTCTCAGTACTTTAAAGCATTAATCCGTGTGTCACTGTAACTATTTTGCTATATGTGCACAGTATACTTTGTGAGCTGTCTTAGACCATTGAAAGAGAGATATTTCATTGTAGGATCTAATCCCAGAGGCCCATTGTGACTATATGGATTACTAGATGCAGCCGGAGGTCTGGTTCTCATTCACCCTCCCAAAACATAGACAGAGTACCTCCCCCTTCAAAGCCCAGTCACAATTTGAAAAGGCTTGAATGCTATTGGTTCACAGTCTGGAATCTTATCACCAGGGTGAAGATAAGTCATTGTTCTTTGTATTAAACAAAGACAGTAATCGCAGACTGATATGTTCATATACACACTGACAAGACCAGTCTGTGGTCATTTCGTACAGATGATGCCACGGACATGATCAGAGGGTCATTTTGATGGATCACGGGCCTTATTTCACTGCTAGCCCCTGAAAGCAGGTGTCTGTGTTTAATGCAATGCTTTTTTTCTGATGTGGTCTGGAGCGAGGGCCAAAGACAAGACATGTTGTTTACAGAGAGCTGATGAAATTTACGGTCTCTCTACACTGAAATCAGACACATATGTACATAGGTAGCAGGTCAGCCTTCCAACATTTACTAAAGATAATTCAGAAAAACAAATCACCACTATTCAGCTCAGCTGAATGCATCCAAATGGCACCAATCTTGTTGTTATTCTAAAACTATATGTGCACGGAAATGACTGCTGAGACTAAGGAGCTTCTGGATGGAAGGGATGGTTGGAGACTATTTTTGCCAATAATTTGTGGGCACATTACCTTATCATACCTCTTTTGTTGTAGAAATTATCCTACAGTTGTCCTTAAAGCATCGGAACACCAGCACCAGGGATGCTGAAAGCATCACAGGTGGTCATTTTAATGGGAAAATAATTTTAAAACACATTTAAGGTGACATGTCATGAGCCTAGCACTGGGATTTAGACTTTTGGAAAAAATATAACCGCACATAAAAAGATCTGGTAGGAACTGTTTTTGTCATTGACTGGTGACCCTGAAATTGTACTGTTCCCTTTGCACAGCTGGAGCCGAAATAGGTTCTAATCTCTGTGTAACCCTAACAGGAACAAACACGAAAAGGATGGATGGAGCTGGCTTTTCTTTTCACAGCACTGTACGATTTGCCTTTGCTATGCATTTAATTCAGACAACTTAATCCACTGTTAGTTGTCCGGGGCATTTGCACTTATCGCACCTATTAACAAGTAACAAAAAGATCTTTAGAATGTAAAAAGAGTAAATGTAAAGAAGTCTATGCTTTGTACACAAACACCGACCACCACATCAATTATAGTTTATCTTAACAAGAAACTCAGCAAGTCAACATTTTTTCAACATGGAAGTAAAATCTGCCAAGTTTACTTTAGTTGTTTACATTATTTGGGATTGGCTACAGCACCCCCCCCCCCCCCCCCGCAACCGTACTAGGATTAATTGGTTGACAATGGATGGATAGACAATTGCTGTGTTTTTTTGTGTGTTTCTGATTTATTTGTATTTTACAAACGTTGTTGTTGGTGCAGTCTAAAACATTGCTTGTCCTGTGGGTCTTTACAAAACAGTGCACACAAAAGTGTCTATGGTTTATAAAAACCTTTAGTGTCTTTCAAACACATATTATATAAAAGAATAACAAGGTCTTTATTTGGAATCCTGGATGACTCATAGTTGTATTTTCTGTTGCTCATCCAGTCCATTAAACTTCATGGGCAGTGTTGTTCACATCTCTCCAAAAATAAAACAAACTCTAGTGTGTAAAAGTGTCTGGCCGATGTAGCAGTGAGGCCTTTGTTCTACATTTATCTCACGGCAGCTTCAGTTCAGTGACTAGCTCCCATTCTGACACCAGAACATCCCAACAGCCAAGAAACTCCGTCCAGAAGACCTGACAGGGATTCTGCCACTGTGTCCTGCACCTGGGTATGACAAATAAAATGCAGATTAAAAATAAAAATCACAACAAAACCAACACTAGATATATTTTTAGAACCCTTTTCATCTGGTTAAATATCAAGATATTACCATCCAGGGGAGAGACAGTTGGGGAAGGCGGAGTCTCTTTGCCATATAAACACACGGAGTTCTGGTACTGTGAGTTTCTGGTTGTTCTCTGGAGATACAGCAGAGCACCAGTAAAGGCTTGGCTTTGTGGTCCCCTTCACAGTTCAGAACAGCCCTGATCTGCGCTACCTCTTCTTTCTCATCACCTGATAAAGAAACAATTGTCTTGTAAATTTCTGATTGTATTTCATATCAATAAAATTCATAGAGTGCACATAGGACTGCAAAGATTGGAATAAACATTTGTGTGTTTTATTTAGACTTCTAAAGCTTTCCTCGCACCTCCAGCAGACTCTGCATTGGCAACATAAATGAAACCGTCCACCACCTGGCACACCTGCTGGACCTGGGGAGCTGGGCTGTACACTGGGAGGCCGGACTCATCGGTTCCTTCAAAAGTAAAAAGCTTACTGCTGGTGCTCTGCTGCTGTACTCTGGCTCTTTCTCTCTCTGCCCTGCAAACAAAAAACCACTATGATGAATGACTTTATATTCATTATAAAAAAAAAGATAGCAGAAAAAACTAAAAAGCAGTTTTCACTACGACATCGGGCAATACGATCTTAAATAAGGCGCTAACCTGTTAGTTGAATACAATGTTAAGATGTTGAATTTATGTTGGTTATTGAATATGTAGCTGATCCCAGAGCCGACACCTAGAAAAAAACATAAACAGTTAGCTGGCACTGGTTTAATCAATTCATGTGTTGACTGAGAGTATAGATTAATTGAGGTGGACAATACCTCCATCTAGTGGTAGGGATCTACAAGTACTGGTAGTTTTGCAGAATTTTTTTTTAATCTTTAGAACAGGCATACAGGAAGATACATAACATCTACGTTAGCTCACCATTGATTTGTCTTTGGGGTGTGCCCGACACGGGAAGCACATCTGGGGAATGCATTAATCTGGTAACTAATGAAACATCCAGCTGCTCCATTCCAGGTCCAAACATGGCATAACGGGGTTCAGATGAGGGCACAAGATACTGAAGAAATGAAGTCACAACTCCATATGCTGGTCTTGTGGGGACCCATTGCTGTCTGCAGGATGGACAGCCTTTGAGGTATCTGTAGAGACAAAGAGGGAATTGAGGAAAAAGAAAGAAAAGCAAACTGTAAAAAAAAAAGAGATAAATACATAAAAAATACACACTCTGACATGTAGTCTAATTTCCACTCCCTCTCTTTCAAATCCCCCTCTTCTCTATCTTCCAGGTTCTCATCTTCACTGATTAGTGGCACATCCAGTAGGTCAAGTTGGGGCATGGTCAAATGATCAATGGAGGACCAGTAAGGCATGTCCCGCAACAGAAAGTATCTCCACAGCAGTGGATCTCTCACCATGGCCCTCCAATACCGACTCGTGGCTCCCAGATGGCAGATATCCACCGGAGACAGAAAGGACATGATCAGGAACTGTAATCCCATCTATAGAGAGATGGGTAAATTAATTAGTTATCTTAAATAATGAGTGGTTGCAATACTTCCCAACCTGACAAATGTACGGTTTTGTGCTTTGCATTGTCAGCAGTAGGGAACCTAAATGTAATTTGAAATGGCCTTTAACCATAAGACATAAAACCTAAACTTGGTAAATCTAACAGAGATGTGCTAAAGCTATAGAAGATAATCTTTGAGAAATATAGCTTGGTTTATCTTGATGTTCCTATTTTCCTGATCCAATTTGGAAGAATTAACAGACGGGAGGGGACAGATCCAGGAGGAGTGTCTACCAGGTGTCTGTTCCTGTCACCTCAATAGCCCAATAAAAAGCTAATCACTTGGTCACCAAGTTTAATTTCTTGCTCAATGGTCATAATAAGTAATCCCGAATTGCTCAACATCGGAAAATAGGCCCTTAAAAAAAGAAGCATAAGAAAAAATCCCAGGGTTTAACAAGTTTTGATTCAAATAAATGTGCACTCATGTCTTTACTACATGACAAAATATAAACCTCCATATTTTTCAGGCAAAAAGCAGTATAAATAATATCCTGAATGGTGTATGTGATTTGATTCGTTTCTTACCGGTAAAATTTCCAAAAATCCCTCTCGTGGTTCTTCCTTTCCTGGCTCTTCAACTTTAGTAAAATCATCGTTGTTCACTACATGGGGAAAATATCGGCGTTTGAACCGCTGGAGGCTGCGAATCACTAAAGACTCCAGCTGCTGGATCTTCTCTGTCATGACTTTTTAGAGTAAAGATTTAGAATAAAACTTCTACCGAGCACAGACGTCTCTGACCCTTGTCCAAAACGAAAACAAATTTGACGCGTCACATTTTTTGACACTTCCTCTTCAGTGGCAGTAGTGGAGCACTATGGGTAGTGTAGTTCTAAAATGAAAATATCTTCTTTCCCATCAACAAAGGCAAAAGACGCTGTATTTCTTTAAACAAAGCACGTGTTTATTGTCAACGAAGACATAAAAAAAGAAAACTATTTCTGTCAAAACAACACAGATCTTCTAATAATAGTTACACTACCGATGTTATCCAAAGGAAGTGAAGAAAAAATGGAATTTGCAACAAATGAGAATATTAGTGTTTCGTTACAAATCTGGTATGGACAAACTCAATATTTTAAAATTGCTCATGAACACAACACTTTTCTTTTGCCTTCTGTGTGTATATATCATACACATATGGTATAATTCTAATATAATATCTTAGGAAGAATAAACAAATGGCAACAAAACAATACATTAAATATTACTGTGCAATGTGTCATTTCCAGCTGGATTATTTTTAGACGTTTGACAGTTTCTTTTTTTTTTTAAATGAATGATGGTCATTTTTAAAAAAATCAATAGTCATTAAAAGTAATAGAAATGTTATTGTAACACATTCGTACAATAAAATCAGTGCCCCTGGCAACAGTTTGAAATCAGGATGGTTGCTGCTTTATTAGCTTGAAAGGGCAAACAATCGCTCTACATCCTCCCTTGTAGTCTCTTTTTTACAACTCCAGTCTTGTACTTTCTAATTGTCATTCACCTGCTTTGGCCGGGTCATTTGGCATAGGATTCGGTTGCCTGAAGACACTGATCCAAAGACTCTTATTCGTATTCACTTTCTCACTGTGCCTCACCCTTGACCTTCAACAATATTACACCCCCGTGTTTTTTGGGAACCATACATTTCCGTATTGAACTTAGATCTGTGCCTTAGGGCAACGTCAACAGAGAAGCAGCTTAGTTCACTGTAAAATACTAAGGATTTCCTTGGCATTTTCTGTGTTCCAGCCTTGGCCTTGCAGAGGACCCTCACAGGCAAGCACATATTTGTTGAGGATCTGAGTACCAATGTCCCGAAACTGGAGGCGATCTTCTTTGCGGTCTGTAGTATCAGCGCTGCAGTCTTCATACTTGACAGCCCAGAAACACATTTCCCCAATGTACATCATTGTCAACAAGTGTGTGTCAGAGAAGATGCCTGCCCAAAGACATTAGTAATTGGTGAGTATGACTAAATGGAGATGGCATAACAGTTTTCCTGCATCGGACATAAACATGACACATTTACCTTCAGATAGGATGCTGGCTGTAGCACTGTCATGGAGCACCACCCCGTCATTGAGCTTAACAGAGTTTCTCACTTGGAGCATCCGCATCAGGTAGCGCACGCCTTCCTGAATACACTGGGTAAAAATGTGCATTAGACCTAATGTCAGCATATGCCAACAAAAAAAACATTAGAAATCAACCTTATTTTTCCACCTCATAACCATCAATCCACTTGACTGAATCAGTAAAGGTCTCATATAGATTATTACAGCAGTGTGGTACCTTAAGGAATGTTTCCTTGTTTTTCTTGATCCATTGTTTTCGCTGATGAAGGGTGTGGCAATACATGTAGAGCAGAGCTCCCCTTCTCCAGTAGAGGCATTCTAACAGCTCTAAGCCCAAAACAGACTGCACCTATCACAGATCAAAATATATTTATTGTTTAAAACTGTCAACAACATCTCAATTTTTATTGCAAAATCCTAATTTCCTCTTGTTTATTCTATGTTAAGTAGAAGACAACACTGTGAGGTAAAGTCCTCTAGAGATGCATGTCTACCTCTTGTGCTGGTGCTAGCCTTGCCACCAAAACTTCTGGTTCAGTTAGGTCTTGAAGCAGCTGCTGGATTTTGAAAGGTGAACAGTCTTCAGGGAATTCCTGGTCCACTAGTTTGTTCTCTTCATAAAATGTGATGTCGAGAATCACCTGGTTGACAAAAACCACACATATAAACACAGAACATCACAGCATTTTTAAAACATTTTCTACACAGAGCTGGATGCCATGCTGCTTAAATGATTCCTACATAACCATGGCAATGGGAAGCAGTTTGGCTTTCCAGTAGATATAGGGCAGCAGCTAAATTGAGGGGAGGAAGAAAAACATTTAAATCATAGCTTCTCTTGATCATTGTGGACAAACTTGGACGAAGATAAAGAATCTCGTGCATGGCATCACCAGTTAAGATGACGTCAAGTCAAAGACAATACCTCGGTCAACTCATAGCTAACCTCAAGATTTCAACCACAATGTTCTCTCTGCTACAATTCAACTTTACAAAAGACTGTTAAATAATTGTTTGTATTAATCTCTAACAATATCATAATGCAGCAATACAGTATAGCTTCAGAGATTTTTACAGTGCCTGTGAATTGAACAGTTACATATCTAAGAATTGATCATAAATCTAACAAATAATATAGCTGGTATGAAGAGAACAAACATATTAAGCATTTTGTCAAAGAACCTGAACGTACACATATAAACACATTTTCTCTGCACCATAAAATTGTTGTGTAACAGCCACTTGCATGAATCTTGAAACAGCCAAGGCTGAGATCACATCAAATCACCTGAGTTATAGGGGTTTATGAGAATAGAATAATTATATTAACCAACATCATATTTGGAACTGAACATTTACTGTCCATAAAACACTGCATCACATTAGTAAAAAAAACTGTAGTTTTAAAAAAATCATACGAGATTACAAAGTAGCATACACCAGTTTTATGACTGGGATTTTTTACTCCACACAATGAACTGTTATAATGATACTGTTGACCACTGTACAAATAGATTGGAATACACTGTTGCATTAACAGATTTCTATATTATGTAACTCATTTGACACATTTAAAAGTGTTTAACTTCTTGGTTACAAGTAGAGGGATACTTCAAAGAGGAAGTGAGACTGCATAAAAATGAGGGGAAATATCTTTACTTTAAGAAGTGACTTGAATGAAAACTATATATCAGTAAACCCTTACTTGATCTAAGACTCCTTTACACCCTGGTAGCCATTGGACACTATAAACAGTTACTTTGAAAATGTATTAATAATTTATTAAGAACCAAAGCTACCAAGCACATGCTAGTTCCTTGCAAACATTATTACCAGTGGTGAGTCTTTGGCAGACAAGTAATCCAAAGACATTTTTTAGTTCAAGAAAAGTTGGATACAGTCAATTACTCTATTCACCTACTAATTAAGTAAGTACATATTCAAAACCACAACGTGCATAATAATTACTTGTAATTAGACATTTAATTAAGCGTAATGCAATGAGATACCTGTGTGTAATCCTGAAGCAGCTTGGAAAGGTTGCTACTCTCCCCTCCTTGTCTGTAAAACCCTTTCAACTTGTCTAGTATGGCAGACGCATTCTGTAAATAGTCATCATCTGTGGAAAAATGACAGACCCACATCATGTTAGGAACGATTCTGGATCCAAAATAAATCTTTATCTGATTAGTCAGATGATACAGTCGTTTAATGTTAGCAGCAATTCAGAAATGGTTTCACCTTTTTTTAGCATCAATATAAAACTGCCTGGTTTACGCGATCACCAAGTGATCATCAATATGGTATAAACATTTGTCAATTACTTCAAAATCATAACTGTAATTTAAAATGGTGACGCTAAAAACTGACAATTTCACCAAAATTCTATACTCCCAGTTTTATGTTTGTCAACAATACTGTGTTTTAGCTAGCATATATTAGCCATTAAGATCAACACCGATAAACAGAAAAAAACAGGACCACATGGTGTGTATTCGGACCTATGTAATCACTATATGATTCTTTTTCGGCCGCTGCAGTAAACAAATTGAGTTGATGCGCATGTTTAATCAGATAACAGTTGTTATGGTTGCAGGCTAACGTTCGTTGAAAAACGTTTACTTAGCTTGTCTGCTACTTAGCTAACAATCGTGGAAATAATGCCGGATGCTTATAGAAGATACATATAATAATTATGTATGATGAATGGATAGTTTTTAAACCAATACCTTGCTTTTCAGCTCTCAGACTTGAACATTTAATGTCTAACTCAAATATCCTTCTCTCCAACTCGAGACCCTGTCGCCTGTAGTCGTCGGCCATGACTAAACGTACTAGTCACGTGAGCAAGGGATTACTCACGTGCCCATAGCATGTCAGTAGCATTTTCAGAAGCACGAGCCATGCAGGCTTCACTGTGTTGAATAAATAATATGAACCGTAATTGATGCAGGTTTTCACTAAATGATAAAATTATTCTCACGTTTAAAAACATTATTGATGTCAGCAATTGAATGTAATTTAGTTCGTAACTATAGCATAGCGACTTTGTCATTATATTTAGCGAGTTTTCAAAACCCTAGAGACTAATTATTCTATGGTTTTATTAGACTTTTGGAGACTGACGTGAATGCACGTATCCCCTACTCTTCTCAACGACCAGGGGGTGCTGCCTAAACCCCTCCCCGGACCCACAGCACTCACAAGCCAGCTGCAGTCAGAGCAGACGTGTACTTCCCCGCATCCAGTCTACAAATGCAGCGGGTTGAATCAGGGAGGGAACTACATGTAAAACGTTGTATAAAATCATTTACTGTAGTAAATGAATAACTGCATTTCTGAGCGCCGTTAACTTCGCGAAATTGTCTCAATTGGGTCAATTTTGCCGGTACCAAGCCCGGATAAAGGAGGAGGGTTGGTACTGTGGCGTTAAAAAAATCGACTGACGAAATTAAAATTGTTCTAAACATATTTTGGGTGTTTTTAACTCTTTCTCACAACGTTGTTCATCTCATATAATATGGTCAATTATGCAAATTAAGCGATGACATCATTGAGCGACTTTCAGGACAGCCAATAGCCTCCTTCCTGACCGAGGAGTTGGCAGCACTTGCTTTAACCCCTTACTGCCGAAAAGCTAGTTCGGCTACAGCCTTAATTAGCGTCCTTGCAGACTGTGTGCCGTGACCGCTGTCGGCTGGAGATTTCATTCTACCCCTCACCTCGCACCCCGTTTTTAACTCCAAAACATGGCGGCCCTCAAAGCTTTGTGCAGAGCGGAAAATATACTCTTCAAAGCCCTCCCAGGCCCCCGCAGAACCAAATTAAACTTCGCTAGCCACTTGAACAAGGTCTGTATTTAAGCCGTAACATTAACGCGTTTCAGAAAGACTGAACATGATACTGCTACAAGGAGCTGGTCATGACTAATTAAAGAGCCATGTCATGAATATGTTGTCCTAATTTGGATGAACCAATTGTTTATCACACGAGTTTGGTTCGTTTAGACATCTTCCACACATTAGTCGTTTGCTGCTTTAGTGTACTTTCCAATGTGACCTGACCTCAGCCTGCTGGCTGCATAACCCGACGTGAATTCTGAAGGCAACGCATTTAAAGTCTAAAGCACAAACATTCACAACTTTCAGGAGCTGTTGTGTCAATAGCATCGCGCGCTTAATTTCCTGCACCAGTGATTTCAAACACGTTAAATCCGTGTTTGGCACGGAGCGTATTGTAAGCGTGGCAGAAAACGAGCAGACAGCATTGCATAATATACTACAACCAACTACTTAGTTTACTGAGTGTCTCATAAACGAGTCAGTGCATAAGGGCAGCCTTTGAATAACGTAGGCTGCATTTGGAAAGAAAACAGGTTATTTTAAGTACAGAAATAAATCAGTGATCTCTTATTTGACATTCTTTGTCAAATGTGTGTCATTCTTTGACACATATTTCACACACCATAGCTTTACTCGTTGTGTTTAATATTGTGACCGTTATGAGGCTGCAGTAGCTGTTGGTTTTGGATTCTTGGCTGTGGAAACCCACAAATCTCCTTCCTTTTGTCGTTGGATTAGTCCATCATTTATGTTTGTCTTTCCCCGTCCACCACAGAATAATCTGGATTTTCACTGCCAAAGTGTGTAAATTGCTCACAGCCATTTGACACTTAATCACTTCATAGTTGACTTGCATCTGTTTCACAATCACTTGCACTTTGCTTACTGTGTGAACAGGAGCTTTTTATTATTTGCTTTGTCGTGTTACCTGTTTAAAGTTCAATGCACCTACCTCCTAACTTTCTTTTGTTTTACAGGCTTGTGGCTGTTTCTTCTCCACCTCCTGTCTGAGGAATTCAAAGTTTTACTCAGATCCTACAGAAGCTGTAAAAGATATCCCTGATGGAGCAACAATTCTAGTTGGAGGTAATGTTCACCGATACTCCAGGCTTACTGGGGTTTCTCTTTATAATGTGCAGAGGTCAAAACAAATGTTTTTTGCACTATTATTATATATTATATGCCATTTTAGTTCAGAATGAGTTGGACCATGCTGGTTGATTAGCATCCACTCAGTCTGCATCTCTTATTTATAGTCGCACTGAGCGTGACATTGTTAGATATTTTCCACTGCGTCACTCTTCTATCTGAAGGGGAAACAGCCTCATTCTGTCTAATATTACAAAGGTTGACACCCTATACACACTTGACTAGAATTAAGTGGGTCTTGATCCAAGGCCGCTGGACTTTGGAGTTTCCCATGTGAATCGTGAGGGTTAAAAAGATCATCATCCTGTGTTTATTTTCCCAACAAGTTTGCACTGTGCTCAGCCTGTTACAGCCTGCTAGGTGAAAGTTCAACTTTAAAATCACACAATTCGCTTTTCACACAGATTATTGAGCTTTTATTTTAGTCAGAAATGGGAATTGCCTTCTTTGTTATATTCCAACACAGGTTTTGGATTGTGTGGCATACCAGAGAACCTCATCAACAGTTTACTGAAGACTGGTGTAAAGGGTATCACAGCAGTCAGTAACAATGCTGGGTAAGTGTGTGTGAGGTGTTCTTCATTTGAATATACTTATTTTATTGCCAAAACTATTTATTTTTTGGAGTGCCTCCTATTTCTTTTAATATTTTTGGTTTTGACTGATTTTAAAGAGGTATCTGAGACATATATTACTCATTTACAGAATATATCTGTGCTGACCTTAGATGCACAGTAGTAGCTTTCTGATAAGTTATCAGAGATGAAGGCACTAGGAAAAGGTGTGCCACCTTGATAGCCTTTCCCTTAAGCGGCTGAGGTTAGCTTCCCAGTAAATGATTGTCTAGGTTATTAACCAAATTAATCAAGTTTAAGTTCTTTCAGCTTCCCCTTCAAGCAAAATGTGGAATATGAAATGGTCTCCAGGGGTGATTAGCTGTTTTTTGTCTGTATTTGCATATTTTCTTTAATCAAAATAGTCTCATAAGTATTTTTGAAGCAAATATTGGCAAACCTACATGTGTTCTTTAACTTTCTGTTCAGTTCTTTTGCTGGTTTTACCAAGACATAGGAGGGCAGTACAGAATTGTCTCTTGTTTTTTATTTCGAGTGAAGTTGAAAACTGAAATGTTATGCAGACTGAAAAAGTTGATGCATTCCTCATTTCTAGACTGTGTTTTTTCCATTGTGTTATTGCTCACATCACGTCTTTTCAATCGTTGTAAGGAAGAGGGTTTGAAGGGGGTAATAATTTTTAAGTAACTTTCTTTTTTTTGACGCAAGAAATTCAAAACCTCTCCAAATCTGGCAATAATGAGAAGTCTTAGAATTTTTGTCACGGCTTATGAATTGTGTTAAGAATTATGCATATATGATATTTTGGAAGGTGTTCTTCACTATATAATCTTTGCAATAATTGCTCTAATTTACACAACTGTATCCAAGCTAAAACATGTTATACCACATAAAAGAAACAGATTTTAAGCATATGATTCCCTCATAACCTCTGTATGTTAACAAAGCTAAGAGAAGCACAGATTTCTGGAAGCAGTGGTGGGTAAGGGATTTGATTAAGGATCCACAGTTTCAGCTGAGGGTTAGAGGATGATTTTATTTTAGATGATAATCTGCTAAAGTTGGTTTTAGTAATTTTGTCAAGAATATCATGTTTACTTGGGAATACATTTCCTTTTAATTTTTAATATGGTAGAACTTTTAATTGTGGTTGTCTGACTATCACTGAATGAGTTAAAAGAAGTTCCCCTGATTTGCTTTGCAGAGCTTTGACACAGTGGACTCATTGTGCTCTGTAACATGAGTTGAGAGGGATCTGGCTTCTCTCTGGAGGGTTATTGGCTGTGACAGAACTCTTTCTCTTCCCTCACAGATTTCAACTCGCCACATAATCAGTTGCTCCAGCAGTTTTACAAAAAGAAAGAGAGCTTATATAAAAGCCACAATTATTTGTCAAAAATGGCCATGGAGCTATCTCTTTTTATTGAAAGCAGAGTCTTGGGGACCATTTCGTCCTCATCACAACAGTGCTTTCAATTAAAAACATAACAATGGAATAGTTAGTCCTGCTGAAGTCTACACACTAGAATACGTGTAGATGGTATGTATGTGTGGTAGAGTCTGCCTGTGAAGCGGTGTACTCATTAGTCATCTGTTTTTATATCTTGTCACCTGACCTCAGATAAGAGTTGAAGACAAAACACTAGTCTTTCACCTCTCAATGTGATACACAAAAGAGTGAGAACTCCTTCATTGTTGATACTAAAAAAGAAAAAAAAAGCACAGTGTAAAAAGAGGTTAGCCACTTTAACTCATTTATTTTCTCTGTGCTCTGAGACAAATGTTACATAATACCCTGTTTACACAAAAACTGTCAGCCAGTACGAGTTTCACAACATTAGTCATTCGCAGTTGTTATTTTATTATTCATTTTCAGGATCATTCTGCAGGGTTTGACTACTTCCAAAAATGAAGAAAGCCTAAGTGGCAACCACTAGTCCCACAGTTATTTGGTCTAATGAGCCTCGGTTATGGCTTTGGATGGGTCACAACTGGAATGTATTATTCGGCTTGGCCCATCAAAGTTTTGAATAAACCCTCTTTGGATATATGATATTGTTACCTCCATAGTTTAGGAAGTGAGCACAGTCACATGCTTTCTTCTTTCAAACAGAATACAAAATTAATTGGGCATATTCCAGTCTGAAACCATGTGGAGAAAATGGCTTTAAAATATTGAATTCATAGTGATTGAAAAAGTATTCACACCCACTCTGTTTCTTTATGAGGAAACAGCTGCAACTAAACACTCACCCCTTTATGTTCCATTCAGTAATGAGCCCACACTTTTGGCATTGGTTCAGTTTTCTGAAGTGTAATTAGCTCACATAAGAGTGTATAATGATGTGTTTCTGTTGTCATCAGAGTGGATAACTTTGGCTTGGGCCTGCTGCTCCAGACTAAGCAAATAAAGAGGATGATCTCCTCCTATGTGGGAGAGAATGCAGAGTTTGAACGACAGTATCTTTCAGGGGAGTTGGAAGTGGAATTGACACCGCAGGTTTGCCATACACATAAACACATTTTGTCAGTAAAAAGTCAACAGCAGAAGTGACAGTGTGCAAGGTTGGATTACAAAGGGATTATGAATGACATTTCACCTGAATGGTTTAGAATTTTTCATCAACATTTTGCTTTTAGAATCTTTCTGACCTTGGAGGAAACATTATTTGTATGCTTAATCATTATCCCTTGCTTTTTTCCCTACAGGGTACTCTTGCAGAGAGGATCAGAGCAGGGGGTGCTGGGATTCCAGCCTTCTTCACAGCCACTGGCTATGGCACTCTGATCCAAGAGGGAGGCTCCCCCATCAAGTACAACAAAGATGGCAGCATTTCCATTTCAAGTGAGAAGAGAGAGGTGACGTGAATCTTTTCCAATATTTTTTAAATATTTATTTTATCGCTCTGTCCATTCTGAACTGAGAGTAGTTCTGACATTTAACTGTTGTTTGCAGGTGCGGGAGTTCAGTGGCAGGCACTACATTATGGAAAAGGCCATCACTGGAGATTTTGCACTGATCAAGGCATGGAAAGCTGACAGGGCAGGAAACATTGTATTTCGGTAAATGATGAAAGTTATAACAAGAAAAAATGCCACACTTTAGCTGAAATGTGTGTTTGGATAAAGTCATCACTCAGTATTGCTGATTTATTTAATTCAAACAGTTATATACTGCACACATGTTGAGCAGTTAACTTGTTTATTATTTTCCAAAGTAGTTAAATTCTAAATGATATGTTCATAAATCACAAGCGACAGCCCAATTCATGGAGATAAATCACTATTAGATGTAATAAAGACTTACTCCACAAGAGAGCGGCATTCACCAATAACTACAAGAAGACTGATTACACAACACAATGATTATAAAGTTTTTGAGTATAGTGTCTCTGTGGCTGACATAGATATTTTCCTTTTCTTACCACTTTTAAATACAGATTTGTCTTACCCTTTGTGTTTTCAGGAAGACAGCCAGGAACTTCAACCAGCCCATGTGCAAGGCAGCCAAAACCACCATAGTAGAGGTATGCATTTCCACAGACACAGTTACCTGATTTAACATTGGGCCTTGTACACACTTCTTAACATATATGTTATTGTGAAAGCTGACATTCAGCATTTTGTTTTTATATTTATGAATTTTGTAAAATAATTAGATTTTAATTGTCAAAGAGGTCACCTAATTGTGACTATTCAAGGTTCTCACTATGGACAAAATATCCTTATGCTCTAGGGACAACATTATAAATATAAGTCAGGCCTTTTTGAGGTTAAGGCCAGGTGTTTCACAGCTTTGGCTGGGAAACTTCAGAATGAACTGGAAATACTTTATATACTGCTACACCAATCCATAAAACTCAGATGTTAAAATCGTAAACTGAATAAGATTCTAATATCTAAAGCTTGGTGACCAAATAGATCATGTCCACCATCTCTGGGTTGTCGATGACACACCTGGTTTCAATCTATCTGTCTGGTCCCCCACCTGTCCAACATTTGACAGTTGAGAAATGTGATCACCCATCTCCTACCTCAGTACGTGTATGTGTGTCTGTGTCCATCATTTCTGCTCCTCCAACACACAAACAGCTTCACACCTCCCATATAGACGCAGCATGATTCAGCGAGCAGCGGGAAGGGAGACTGTGTGTGTGCGGCAGCCATAAAATACGGGCACTTTCTGAAAATAAATTGGAAGACTAAGGTCTGCCATAAATCATAGTTTTACCAACTGAAATTTAAATTATTCCATGGTTGTTGAACTTGATATTTAGTCTGCTGTTGATGAGAAATATCTGGGACTAAATGGGGAGAGTAAATTGTGTCACCATGAAGCTGTTATGTACTTACAACTAAAAACCAAATGCCCGTGATTAATCGAGGGTAAACCCTCCTTCCTGGTAACTGGGTCTATGTGAATCACTATTCTGCTATTTACTAATACTACTATTTGTCACAGCATCTCACAGAGGATGCGTGGAGTGATTTGATAAGAAAAGTCAGAGGAGTTGCTTTCACAGGGCTGAGAAGCCAGTCTTTGAGACAGCCAAGTTGTTAGTTAACTATAGTCACATGGACAACAATGATAAAGCGGTGTGAGATATTCTTATTTAACCATCCACTAACATTTTTCTGCACCCTTACACTCCTGCACAAGGTGTCTTTGGAAAGGAGGAAGGATATCACTTTTTAAAAAAATGTAAAAAGTTATTTTAAAGGGATATAGGCCCAATTGCCATTTGGTCTCGCAAACAGAAAATATCCAGGTGCATTTTCAAGATTGTTTTTGAGGCAGTTCTGCTTCCAGACAGTGGCAAGTGCCAGGAGTGATAGAGGAGGAAATGAGAGCATAACATAAGTTGAAAGCGATTTCACTTTCACAATATCACAAGCTTGAAGGATGCACATGACGTATTTCAGTTAACATGGTCTAAGAAAAGTTTTGAACACAAACGGCATCTGTGGTTTCATGGAATGAGGAAAACATTAAGAAAATTGTGACTTATTTTTTCATCAGGGACATATTAAGTGCATTATAACACAAGATGTGTGTGTAGCTTTAAAGAAAAGTCATTTTCATGTTCTTTAAATCATTTAATCTCTCCAAAACACCCTCTCAACCCGACACAAATCATCTTATTTTAGGAAACAGTCTGTGTATCCTTGTCTAATTATTCTTATTATTTTTTTTACATAATTGGATTTTTCCTCCCAGCGGGGAGATGAGTCTACATTTCTCAACTGGGTCAGTGTTAAAGTAGCTCTCTCAGGGGTTCGCACTTTAGGTCTTTTTGTTTTTGTTTTGTTTGGAAAACCTGTTTTCACATACCAACTAATTAGTTATATTTACAAACATTTTAATTTATTCTGCACTGTGATAACATGAACTGAACAAATTATGAAACCGACAATTTTTCATATTTTTAAACTGTGCTTTATAATTTTGACTTGCACGGTTTCTGAAAGTATGATTTAAAAAAAATTCAATTCAATAAGAAAAACGGTTGTGTGGTTCCCTGACCAACTGTTTGTATACAGGTACTCCATTATCAAAATGTTTGTGTTGGCACTCAGTTTTTCCAAATCTGCATATTTGTAGAATTTACATTTAGCCGTATCCCTGACACATTCTAATGTCATTTATGAAAGTAAGAGTATTATTTTTGTTAACAAGTAATTGAAAGGACAATGATAGTTACAAAAGTGTTTTTCTGTGTCTTGCTTCTTAATCCATTAAAACGAACATACTAACACTAGTAATTGGAACCCTTTATATGAATGTGAACTTCACACAATATGTGTTTTGCTGTACATTTATTTGAACTTTAATGCGTAGCAATTTGCTGCTACCCTTGAGGTAAGAGAAATGTTGTTTTTGCTTCATAACAAGGAGGTGCTTTGAATTTGGTTTTCATTCCAGCCTTTTTGTAAAGCAATTAGTCAACCCCTGGCTTGGCTCTTTTTTCCCACAGTGCACCTGCCTCTGCATAGTTTGTACCCCCCGTTGTTGTAGTCTATTGTGAGCTTGTCAGCGTTGTCAATATGCAGCTGTAGTTTAGCCCCCAAATGCTGGGCAGCACAGAGATCAGTCCGTACGTCCCAGTTAATGTTATGAACATTTCTGTGTCCGAAACACCCCAAATAACCTGCTAATCACTCCTCCTTCACTATCTGTCGGACACGTGACATTCCCTGGATAAAAATCTCCAATTTATCGGTTGGCTGAGGCATACTTCCCTGAGGTGTTAATATTTTATTATGGTCTTTTTTAATGTGCAGAAGGCAATATAGACATTATCAATAACATCTTATTGATTGATTGGGCTGCATGGTATAACCTGATGAAAACATTTGATCTGATACTTATTCAATTACCCAACATGAACATATGTTCAAGATTCTTTGTCCGCTCAGTCATAAATCTGGTGATTTGTTGTCAATATTGACCCTGCTGTCCAGTATTCTGACTAAATAACCAACAGAAGGTGTCAGGTGTTTTTGAGACAGCTCATTTAACTTGCAGCTCAGCTTGGCCGCAGCTCAAACGGATCTCCTGACGATCTTTTGAACATCTGTTTGGCCAGATTTGCTCACCCTAGCTTAGGAGTCATGAAGGCTTAAAGTGTTTATGGCTTTAACAATTCATGGTTGCCTAGGGGCAGAAAATGTCAAGACATTTTGAGAAGGTGAAAGTGAAATTCCTTACCTGAGTACTGTTGTGCTTCTCATCAAAGCAAGCATCACAAAAAATTGTTTACCCAGCTTGCTTTACTGAATGATTCATATGCATATGCTTTTATTTTTTATTAATCTGATTGTTCTATATTCAAAAGTGCACAGTTGTTTTTCTTTAGGGTTAATTTAGCTGTATTCTGGTTTACAATATCTTATAAGTCCTTGCTAGTGTATACACATACATTTACACCATAACAATAGAGTGCTTCGATGATTCACATCATCACCTGTTGTAGTGGCAGCTGGTGATTCTTATGTGAAATGTGATTTATCCACTTTTAAAGACTTTTGAAGGATGCCAGAAAGCAGGTAAAATAAAGTTATACTAAGTAAATTACCAGATTATCTGCAGCTCTCACCATGGTTTCTAGGCAACCAACCCCTGCTATTCAATTGTTCAGTGTTCCTGGGTTTCCAGCTAGTCTGGTTTCTTCCTTAATGCATGTACAGCGAAAGACCCCGGTGCCCTCTGGGAGACATTGCACCAGAGACTGAGTGGAAGCAAGACTTTTTCAGGCGTTATTTTATCAGTCTCAATAATCCTATAGCCACTAGACAAACATAATTCAAATTAATTTACTTTTAAGTGCATTTTATTCCCTTTTACCTAGAGAAGATGTCTAGTTGGGTATAAATGCCATCCCTCTTAAGGGGGCTCTGTATCAGCCTCCCGTTGTCCTTCAGGCCCTCAGCAGGATTAGGTTTTGTGTTGCAAGTTTGATTAATCCTTTAATTAAAAAAAAAAAAAGAACAGCAGCAGTAAAGATTTAAAGACAGTTTTTAGTGTTTGGGAGAACTCTTCATTTTTTCGTTTAATTTTGATGTAGTAAAAGTACTTGCTTTTTAAGAAGCCATGTTAACATGAGTCATGTTAACATTGTTCTCATGTGAATGCCACTTCTTTTTCATTTTGATCTGAAAACTCGAGTCAGGGGTGGTAATTGGAGAGCTTGATGGGCTGCAACTGCAGTAAATTGCTGTAATATCAAAGCAGATGAGTATGAAAGCCTTCGACACCCTACAAAAAAAGTCTGTTTGCTCAATTTTTTGTGCTTTAAGGAAGACAGTACTGTCGGTCACAATGACTTCACATTACACTTGATATTGCAATTATGCACCCATTTATGAGTGAGCATCTTGGGATCTGTGAGTTTACACACATGTTGAAGAATTGTGAGCTCAAGCCCTGGTATGGACACATCTTTTAAGATTTCTCTACCTGAGTTAATGTGTGTGTCATTCAAAGTTTCCCTATCAGATTGACCTAAAAACAGACTGAATTATTTATCACTTATTCCTCTACATTTTTTAGGACAGTGTTCCCTTTGCTTATATTTACAGGTATTCTGCTACCTCTGGATCATATGAAGACAAACCAAACATGCTCGTTACGCTCTGCCATAAATGCAATAATTAATTTCTAAGCTTGGCACTGACTAGAAGATATAGACTTATGTTCAAGTACCTTGCTGACATTTACTGAAGATTGATCATAAAGCCAATGACTTACTGCTGGCAAATGTAGGTCAGAGCAGGACTTCTCAAACAGAGAGTTAGGGAAGAGGACATGTACATAGAAAGTGTGATTAGGAATACAGATTTAACGGAGGTTTTCACAAGCTGAATTACTGACTAAAATAGATATAGTTTATGCAGCAGCCCATCATTTCAATCTGACATCAGATGTACATGGTACACAGGGCTACTGTGGGTCTCCTATCAAATAGGTATTTTTAGTTCCTGTTACATTGTCAGGACCTGCATCGGTTGGCTGTCTTCTATTATCTGAATACCCAGAGAGCAGTTTACCTTCCAACGTATGGCAACAGATTGCTTGTGATGTCAGTATTCTAGGTTAGAGGATACAGCCCGAGCTGATCCCAGAAAGTGGCAACAGAGCATGGCCAAGTGCCCACACATGCACACACAATGGGGGGAAGATAGAAAGGCTAAAAATACTCAGAGTAATGACTGTGTAGTGTCGCTGTCACCCTGTTGCCTTTAGCCACACAATGTTTTTCTTCTGACCTCTGGACTGTATTTCAGGATATGCACACCCAAACAAAATACAGACAGAGATGGAACATAAACCTGAATTACTGCCTCTAAAATTATTAAGTCACACTTAAACATGTCACTGGTTAAAGGCAATTTGCCCAATTGAATTATAACCGGTATAGGGAATTAAATTAAACCAATAATTAGTAAGTTTTCAGTTCTGTTTCAGTAGTTCCATAAGTTTTTCACAGTAACAGTACTTTGCACATAAATAATGTAGCAAACAGCTAGTTGCTATTTTCTGTCTACTGTGTGAAACAGTCGTCCTTATGAGCGACAATTTTGTTTCGTGTGTGTCTTTTACTATCAGCTTTTACAGTAGGTGAGTCCCCATAGCCTCTAGTTTCTTCAACCGAATCAATTGCATTTTTTATTCAAAAAGAAATCCTCTCCCTTATATATAATGGTCTGTGATCTTTTTGAAAGGCTTTATGTTAAGGTCATCATCCAATGAATTTGGCTTACTAATGTAAGAAGTCAGTTCTGTCAAAATGTTTATTCAAAATACGGTAGCAAAACTACTTCAGTCAACCACTACGTCAATCGATAAATCATATTAAGGTAATCATAGTCTGCTGCAGATTTTTTTTGTGCATGTGAACATGGAAACTGTGAGAGTATTATTTTTCTTTTATTGTTATTTTTAGGGCTAGTATTTGTGATGAACATACATCTCTATAATAGTTAAGTTACTGGACAGGGAATAGCGTTTGCATAACCACTGTCAGTGGTTTATTTAAGGGGATTTGGTTGCATTGTGAACGGATCAATCTGAGATTAATAAGATCTGACAAAGCTCAAGGCCCAAAACAGCACACCCTCTAGGGGGTGAAAAAAAAAAAGCATGCAGGGCACTTTGATTCCCTCTGTCCTCCTGCCAGCTCACTTCATGCCCTACTCTGCTCTCATTGAAGTGAAAATCGGTCTACAGACAGAGGAATATCAATGTCGGTGCATGTGCCTGTTTATTCACGCTACACACCTGTTCATTTGTGTGTTATCCTTGTTTGTTTTATTCCATTTAAAGCTTTATCCCTCCCTGTCTGCTGATCCACCAGTGGAGTCTGGACACATCACACAGATGAAAGGAACAGAGGCTTTTTTATGACCACAGCACATTTAAATTTTATGAGTTTGTTATTGTGGTGTGACTTTGCTGTAGAAGGCTAATTGAAAACAGAGCTGAATACGAGGTTTGTTTTCTCTGTGAAAGGCTAACGGCATAGAGAACCCTGTCTTAGGTGTGAATTTTTTGTATTTGTTATTCATGTTTTCAAGGGGCTCACTATTTCACATTTTATCACAGAGGAAACAAAATGGAAATGAGCATTTAATGTTTTATTTATTTATTTATTTATTTATTTATTTATTTATTTATTTATTTATTTATTTATTTATTTATTTAGCTTTCAGATTTTAGGCTTTGAAATGAATGCCAACAAATATCTGCTGTGCTCTGTGCTCCCATGTTCCAAGCCTCTGTATTTTACGGGTTTTATGTCGTGATGATCACCTTCTTTCTTGATGAAGATGTCCCAGCAAGTCACCAGCCTCAGAAAAGACAGATAAAGCCCCCAGAGAGTCATGTGGGTGAATGTGTGGGACTGCAGTGATCAGGCGCTACCAATCTCATCTTGCACGGCCTCGTTTTTCACTGTAAAGAATTAGAGATTTACCATAAACCAACCATGAGAACCATAAAAGGAGTTTAAACCATTTTATGATCCTGAGTGGCCCGAGCTCATGAGAGACCAAAGCCTTTGTATCCATGACAACACGAAGATGGGATCCTCTCTTGGCCATTGACTCCTCTTAGTCAGCACTGAGTACTGACGGAGGAAGTAGAGATAAGGAAAGATTCAATTCAATTAGCTGTGAACAGATGCCTGCCCCTCATGTAAATGGAATGAGTAGCTTACACTGTAGGAAACAGAAGGAAACACAGAGAAGTAGGACTGAGGATGGAAATGGTGTTATAGTGCATTCCCTTTTTGGCCTCCCTAGACACAGTGTTTACTCTGTTACTGTGCCCCCCCCTCCCCCCCTCTTGATTTATATATATATATATACTTTTTTTTTTCTCCAAAGAGCTCATGCTGTGACTAGAGTTTAATGTAACATGACTTTTCAGACCTTTCACTGACTGTAAATGGGTCTGAGGACATGCTGTACAGCTCCCTCTGGACACCTGTAGGAGTAGAGGCTGGAACCTCGCTTTATAACCGCTCTCAACTCAGTTGAAAAGAAAGGGGCAGAAGTTTTTGTTGTAGGATTTCTTTGCTCAGTCATGCTGATTGACAGCCATTTCCATCCATTACCTGTCCGTCAGACAGAATGAATCCTTTATGTACACGACTTCTGCTGTGCTGCACATCAAGTTAAAACGCATATACTTTTGATGTACTTATTTGCATTGCCAGGGTGAAAATAAAGATGGGCCTAGACATTTCTCTGCAGAGTGACATAACCTCTCCTGGATTTTCATCAGTTAACCTGTTGAATTTCATAGCTGGGTGGGCAGAGATCATTTTCTGGCAACACAGTTCCAGCACTGTGCGGTTTTTATTCTTCTAAACTTTCAATCTCGTGAGTCACTGGACATTTTTCAGCTGAATGCAGAACTCATCTGTCTACTTTTATGCATAGGTTGAAGAGGTGGTGGATGTTGGGACATTTGCTGAGGAGGACATCCACATACCTAGCATCTACATCCACAGGGTGGTTCAGGGAGCCAGCTACGAGAAAAGGATTGAGGTACAAAGCAAGACCTGTCAGACTTCACATAAAAGTAATGATTCTACATGAAAGGCATGAGGTCAGCATGCTGTGCCTGCTAATCTTGTAGTTTCTGCATAATGTCACTGCAATTGTCACGAGAATGTATTTGAAGCTCCATGAGAAAGCAGAGGGGCAGCCTTTTGTTGTGCGTGTGCAATATTTTTGTTTTAATCTTTTTTCCCCCGGTTTCAGAAACGCACAGTAAGAAAAAGCCAAGAAGACAAGCCGAAACCAAAGAAAGATTCAGACATTGTTCGGGAAAGGATCATTCGCAGGGCTGCTCTGGAGTTTGAGAATGGGATGTATGGTATCCTTTAAAAAAAAATTAGACTGTGTGCAAATACCTAAATCGCACACATTTTTTTCCAGAACAGGAAATGGTTTTTATCCACTGAAGAAAAGAAAAAAGATGCAGCTCAGCTTCCTTTGTTTCCAACTAGAAAAATTACAGATTTTGCAACAGTTGATTGCAAAGGCATATGATGTACAAATTTTTGTTCTTTCAGTCTTTCACATTTACATGTTGAATTGGAAGCAATTGTCCTTTCTCATGATAGCAGCGACAGGTTCTGTGTGAATACCTGTTCATTTGATACTTGTCTTTCATCTCATGAATACAAACAGAATAGTTAGTGTTTTTAACAAAGACCAAATCAGCAAACCTTGGTATTGGTATTCCAATGCTGGCTAGCAACTTTATTAAACAAGACATCACGGTTCATCTCCAGAGTGAAAATGGAATTTTGGGACTGGTAAGACTTTTGAATCATATATTTTTCTTCATTGTCTAAAATCCTAAGAAACTAACCATAAGCAGATTTTGACAAGCCGTTCATTAGAGTTGCAGCATTGCTGGTCAGGGCCTTAGTTTGAACTGTGCTTGGTTTATTATATGGCAGATAGTGTCAGTTTTTTTTTTCCACAGCCATCATTTGCTTTCAGAGCTTTTAAGAAAAACTTCTACATTTGCTGGAAAGACTATCCAATCACTATTGCTGACAGTAGAATGTAGGCGCCTGTGCTAATTCTTTCTCTGTCAAGATTTTAGTTAATTACATGTCTTAGTTTTAGAGAGATGCTGCTCTCACCTTTCTTTTCCCCTTTACTTTGTCCTCAAGAATTGCTCACCTTGTTGAACACAAAAGAAAATCAATGTCTGATCTAATCAGCGAAGCATTTTTTCCCTGTTTCTCTTTTGAAAGATCATGGGCAGTTAGATCCGATTGATTTACTTAAGCATACGTGTTGCTTCCCTCCTGTATTTACTCATGTTTTATCTCTTTATGGAAAGGGACCATATCCCACTGAGGATGCAGTTGATGCAGATCTGATCAATGCTGGTAAGGGATATCCTGATTATTAGCCAGTTATAATTATGTTATGTTTATCACAAGCTGCCTTAATAAAGGGAAAACATTGATATTTGTAAATTATACATGAATGAATAGGAGTGCGCGGTATTCATAGATTCATCCTGACGTGTACATTTTAGCCACCTAATGTGTCTGAAGTCTTCTTAGAATGCGGTTGACATCTATATATATATAGTTTCTTTGACACACCAGTGTTTATCGTTTTAACTCTTTGTTTAAATGTATCTTGTCATTGATTTTAAAATCTTGTCGCACATTTTCATTCTTGTTATGTTTATGCGTAAGCTCCGACTATTTTGTGTTCTTCAGGAAAGGAGACGGTCACTGTGCTCCCTGGAGCTGCTTATTTCTCCAGTGATGAGTCATTTGCCATGATTCGGGGGTAAGGCCATATACATGAGCTTTGAAGAGCTATTTGTTAGCTTAATGTTATATATGTCTGTCATTTTAAGGGACTAGCGGAAAAAATGTTGTAATACCATGATTCATATCCATGGACTGCAGTCTACACATGACACAAAAAGAAAAGGAAAGTATTCATTTCTTCCGAATGAGTTCTTCTTCTATACCAAATCTCCTTTTCCTCTTAGTATTAGGCAGGATTTGACTGCAGGATTTAGGCAAGATTTGACCAGGATGTGCAACACTGGATATGAACAAATGGTCACCTGTACAAATAGACAGCTGCCTTGTCAATGTTCCCAAGGTCTCTGGATTTTATTGATTTTCCTCCTGACTGATATTGCCCACCCACACTCCCTGCAGCATTAGTTTTGTTTGTCCACCCAGCAGAAATTCAATATTGGTCATAAATAGTGCTGTCCAGCCACACTGGTGGAGACTAAATTGAACCAAGCTGAATTTGCAGGCAAGAGTGTCTCTTGTTGTGCTAACACTGTTGGGATTCACAATTAAGTCTTTCAACACTGAGAAATAATTACTAAGTATATGGTACATTGTCAGCCACTTTACCTCCAACACCGCATAAACACCATATGTGTTTAGATTTTACCGCTTCTTTATATTCAGTACTCAACACCAACAAAATAACATAACTTTTGTCAGTAATCAGAAAATATAATCAATGGGTGTTCTCATGGAAGGGGTTCAATGTGCCAGTATCTGTTTTGGGGAATTTGATTTCTGATGAATAGACTTAAGTTCAGAAGTTTAACTGGTTCTGAAGTTGACAGCTGTCTTCTTCTGTTGTGTTGTTCTCTGAAGGGGTCACATCAACCTGACAATGCTGGGAGCCATGCAAGTGTCCAAACATGGAGATTTAGCCAACTGGATGATCCCAGTGAGTTTGGTTTGATGGCAAACATCTATTATCTGTTTCCACATTCGTGCTGTCCCGTTCCATCTAAATGTCCAATGCTGCATCACAGAGGTACTGTTTGTGGAACCATTTTCTTTTTATGTTCTGCTAATGCAAAAGTGGTGGTTCTGGTGTTTGTTTGCGTGAAACTTTGTAGTGTACATCTTGCGATCTCTCTCTACCCACAATTTTTTTTATTATATTAATTTGTTTTTGTCTGGGCAGAAAGTAGCATATTTGTTACTATATGAAGAACTTACACCATTGTTTTGCCAGCCAAGTGTGTTCTTCTTTCACGACCAACGCAGTATACAAACTCTGAGCTCCAGATTAGTCTGTCTAGTCTAAAGTCCATAAAAAGTGAGCTCTGAGGCTTTAGCAGACGGAGTGCCATTGCTTTAGCTCCTGTGTGGTCCTGAATCATCTTACCCCGGGGGATATGTTTGGTTTATTTGTGTTTTAGAACAATAGCATAATGACGTTTTTTTAACCGAAAGCTGCCATTTGTCTCCCAGATCCCAAATTTTGTGGTCGGATGCATCTGTCATTGAGGCATCCCAGTCGAATTACTTGTACCAGCCTTGTCGAATAATTTTCAACTCACATGAACATAGAACATTGAGGTTTCCATGTCCTCTGACATCTGAGAGTATAAATAAAAAAGAATACTAATTTCATAAATTGTAAGAAAGAAGATAATGTTTCCAATAAAATATTTATTATTGTTCTGGTAATTTGGCTCTTTTAAGACTTTTGCTTAATGATGAAATGGAATTTTCTCCTGAACACAAATATTATGAGTGAAATGTTTTCACTGCTTTCACTATTATTAGAGAGCAGGAACCAGGGATAATCTAGTCAGGGTATTGAGTGCAAGGGGTTATTTGTGAGTGCTACAGTATATAATGGGTGGAAAACATTATTACTAGATACTTTATCGGGTCAGTTGGTCTTAAAACCGCAGTGGCCCAAGTGCTTCTTAATGATTACTAAGATCAAGAACCTATTAAATGCTTCTTTGCAGTGTGGGATGTTTAAACCAGAATTCCCTCTGGGATAAGGCATGTGTATTCTACAGCTGGATGTCTTTTAAGCAAGAAGATACAGACACTAGTATGCTATAGATGTATATGTGTAAATATACATAGATCTAAACATTTCTTGGGTAATAATAGTTAGATATGAGACAATTTGTTATATGGGATTACGGTATTTAAAAAAAAAAAGTAACCTGTCCTAGTTACGTTTCCACTTGTACTCTTTCATTCAAACTTAATTAGGCTTGTTATTCACATATTGAAGCCCTGCAGTGGACCTGTTCAGAAGCAAGGAGTTTATCTTGTTTTACCATTGTTGCAGTGGACAGTTGGATTGGTAAAACACTGAAGCAACATGGCCACACACACACATACCTTAATTCTCACCTACGCTTCATTCTTCATTATCCCCTCTTTTCAGAATCAGAATCAGAATCAGGTTTATTGCCAAGTAGGTTTTCAGACTTACAAGGAATTTGCCTTGGTGTTTAGTGCACAACACAACACTTCTATGAGAAGCAAGAATAAAAAGTAAAAATAAAGATATAGGGCAGAATGATAAAACTGAAAAATACAATCTTTAAAAGTATAAATCTGAATGTACAAATTAACAATCTTTAAAAATATAGATTTGAATGTGCAAATTAACAATTGAAATGTGCAATGTTGATCTGCAACAACAGACCAGAAAATGCTGAACGTAGCATAAACAGGCCCCTTTATTCTGACCCTTTCCATGCCTTGATTTTGTCTACTGTCTAAAATGTTTTGGCAGATTGAATACGTAAAAGGATTTCAAAGATCTCAACTGAAAGGTTGGATGAGGAGAATTACATTTCCCACCGTCGGTGATAATGAAAATTATTCACTATCTAAAGATGGGTGCATAGCGTGAAATTGAAAATGTTTTACGTGGGTGTTGGAGATGCAGGACATGATTGTGTTGATTTTGAATGCATTTAATATGCAAAATGCATACGAACATTTTTCAGTTGAGATCTTTGAAATCCTTTTACGTATTCAATCTGCCAAAACATTTTAGACAGTAGACAAAATCAAGGCATGGAAAGGGTCAGAATAAAGGGGCCTGTTTAGGATTTGTTGAGCTATTTTATGATTTTACTGCTTGAGCATTTTAAAGTCCAGATGTAGCGCTTTTGCAAAAAGTTGCACACAGCGAATGTAGATACTGACAAACTGGAGATGTACACATTTTCTAGAAGTGAAAGACAACAAAACACATTTACTATTTACTGAAATGTAACAAAGTGTGAAATGAGATCGAAGAGTGGAATTTTATTTCTACAAAAGGGGTGATGATGTTGGTATAAAGCAATCCATACATGAGCTTCAACGAGATACACGACAAAATAGGCCATGAAGAACAGAGACTGCATGTTGTAATTGGTTTTAGGGGAAATAAATAGTAAAGTAAAATTATGTTCATAATGTGATGCAAAGACTGAATTATTTTTCTTTCTTGTTCTGTTTTAGTCTGATTAAGAGCTAGTATAGTCTGTGGCTTAGGGGAAATGTTAAATTACACATACTTCTTCATTGTCCTCTGTACTGAAGATTTGGCTGTCTGAGGCTTGTCAGCTGCAGTGAGAAAGTTGCCCGAAAAGAAATATTTAAATAGTTGTCTTCTTTCAGGAATTTAGAGGAAGCAATGGAAGAGAATGATGTATGAGTAATGAGTGGATAATAATGATGATGATGAGGATGATTTATTCATGATTTCTGCTCCATTTTTTTTTTCTTTTTCGAAAGTTTATTTGAATTGCCATGTGAACAGCTTGCCCCACTATGCGCAAATGGTATTCTTCAGGATTATTTTATCCTTGAGCAAATACAATGGTCCTTGTCAATCTCAAATGTTATTGAACCTCAAACAAATTGCTGTTGGGAAATAAAAGTGGATTTTATAAAAAAAAAAAAAAGGAAAGAAAGGAAAAAAATGAAGGCTTCACCTGCTTTGCCTACATTAAGACTGAAAAATGAAACAGACTGAGGCTTTACAACCACTTGAAATTATTAAGAAAAAATACAATCCATTTCTATCTATTACTATGTAGTCTTGCTCATAAAATACAAGCACTTCTTATTAAACGCTACAGCTGCCTATTGTAGACAGTTGTGTATCTTTATTGGTGTGGTTTATTTGAGCGACATTTGACTCACACAATCAACAAGCACAATGTGCTTTTGCTGTCAGAAATCATTCTATGTTCTCTATATTAAAGGAAGAGATAAGTGAATGCTGAACTTCGGGCCCTTTTTTTATTCCAGTGCTTCATAGACGTACCGTCTATGGTGCCAATTTATTAATCAGTGACATGAAAGAAATTTTGTTTCCAGTTCTCGTTTCTTCTCAAGAACTGTAACCAGTGTAAAAGAACACAAAATATCTTCATGTTTCGGATATATTTGCTGATCAAATACAGCCACACTTTTTTTGTCTCAGCTTCATGGATTTACCTGCAAACTTATTTGTTACTTTTACTACTTACTATTTAGCTGAATAACTTAATTCCTTCATTTTTATCGTTAGCACTACTTGGAGACGAATTTCATTTAAATGTTCAATTGAGATGTGCTCATCTCATATGATTTCAACAGTTGTGTTTTTCATTTACTTTGAACACAGTGTCCATTGTCTTCCTGTCAGGTCCATCTCTGAATCTTGTCATTAGTTGTCTGGGTAACGAAGGCTCGTGGCAGTCCGTCGCTATGTTATTAAATAGAGTCATTTGTATCAGACAGAAGAGACAGTTGCAGAACTATAGGGGAGAGAAAGGAAGCCAATTGGAACTCTTGGATTGTGAAGGGGGTCATTTTCTGACAAAAAAGTCAACACTTGCACGAGAAATGAGAAAATTGTATACTGTTGCCATGGCAACATGCAAAAAATGTCAAGTATTTTGAGGGAAATAGATACCTAGTGAAAATACATATCTCAACCTTGCTTAATGGCACAGTAAGTGGAGCGGCTTTTCCATGTATGTCAACAGTTTCACCTGAAAAAAAATAAATCCTAGTTTTATTTTCATAGCGTCTCCCACTGCCACATTTTCATGGCAATCATTGTTGTATGTATCGGTGATTAAAATCTGTTAGAAATGCACTTGATAGTCAGTGGCCTCCATGTTTACTTTTATAGATATCAGTTACTAAATGTGAAGAATCTCATTCTGGTGCCATTGGGCTTTCACTGTGAGACTGAGCTCAGAGGGGCTGACTGTCACGTAGTGCTTGATTCTTAGTCCATTCCTCCTGATTACCTTTTTTGACATTTGATAATGACATACGATTATAAAAAAGTACATATGTTTTTAGAGTTCCTTATTTTATTTTTCATATCTTTCCGAGCTGGCTTCTATTTATCAAAGCCAGTTTTAGCTTGCTTTAACAAACCGTTTTAAATTCTTGAAATCCATTCCAAAAGAACAACTCTAGTTGGTTGAACTCCCCATGAGCCCTTTTCACATGTGACAACTGCATGGTTGCTTACAGTGCCAAGTTCTGCCATGCTGGCTTGTCCTCGCACAAATATATCAACTTCCCTTAACAACTCAAAAACTAATAGAATTCCATAGAAATGAGGTAGAATTTCATACTTCTATTTTTAATCGAGCAACATTGAAATAATCCCACTTAAACTGTGTGCATGAATGTAACCCCCTAGATTGTATCTTTCAATTTACAAGCTAGTTTTCACTTAAGAGAGGAGTGAGATTTTGCAACATTTTCATTTTCCAATGTGCTTTTTGGCTCATAAACTGCATCTAGATAAATGCTTTTGATGCTCCTGTTTTGTTGAGATTACAGCAGGCGAATGGATACAATCAGAGCAGTAAGGAAATTAAAATCCTGTGGGGCTTCAGTCAGACCAACAGGTCAACATCATCAAAGCTTCGTTAATTAAATGACTAAATTACCTTATCATTGGTGGTGATGCTGGAATTGCAGGATATTTCCAAAGATATTGTTATGAAAATATTCTCCCTCCCCGGTGTGCCCTCATGCCTGTTCTGTCATTCTGGTGTCAGATGACAGTTCAACTGCCCTACCCTTTATGGTACATCTGTTTTTGTAAAATTGTTATTCTAACAACTGGGATATGTCTGGTATAAGGAAATGCACTTTAACATGATACATTTTACTAGATGATGCTGCATCCTCCATAAATAAACAATGCCTCTCGATAGCAAACCAAAAATCATCACTCTTGTATAAGAGTTAGTGAGCAAGATAGACCACATCACGTTTTTACCAGCATGTCATTTGATAAATGTGGGCATGTCATTATGATAAATTTGAGTTCTGATGCACGAGGCGGCTTTGATCAAAGCCTCCACAGATAACTGTATGCAAAGCTGCTCATCAGAGACAAGCAAATGCCAATCCTCATATTAATATAGGTCACATTCAGGGCTGTGTGAGCCGCAGAGCTCTGACCTGTCAGTAGGTCCTCGCCATTTATATTTTGTTCCAGGTCATTATGTTGGTATTGTTGGCAGTTTGGCACACACCCTCTAAAGTGCAGACACATCCTCATCCCATATCCTGCAAAAATGAATAATAAGAGGAGATAATTCAGTTTTATGGTTAACCGTGGCTCCAGTAGGGGTCTGATTGCCCTGAAAGCAAAAAGTATCACTGTCGTTTCAGTCAGACTGTCAGTATTATAGATGTTTTTTTTGTTGTTTTTTTTTCTCAGTGATAACCAGACTAGTATTTGAATGCAATGGTGGTTATGATCTCAAAAATAGATGCCGTCTTTGTTTATCATTAGCCAAGGTGGAGTACAAGAACAGGTGTCATGCATAGATAGCAGATATAAATCCCAGCTTGTCGTCATAAGGTCTGTTCATGTTGCACCCGTTAACATCATGTGTCATATCATGATATATCATGAACTGCATCATGCATCATGAACTGAATCACTGAGTGGAAAAAAAGATAAGAGTTTGTAGTACTGTGAAGAATAAAACTGGATTTATTTATTTTTTCATACACATGTCAATAAGCTGTCAGCACAGCTCACTTTCACTCTGTGTTCTTTTAGATAATACCGTAAAGTACATGCACTCTATTTACCCTACCCCCTGAAACCCACCTTCTCTCTTCTCAACCTCCTTCATGCTCTCAGTTGATATCTTCCTTATCCAGCTGGCCTCCCCAGAGGCAGACAGTATCCTTGTGATGTTCCATATTTGCCATATATATCCTCTGGTTCTTGAGCAGAGAGCAAAACAGGCTCTTCCCATGATTGATAAGGAAATGGGATTTTAATTCAGTTACTCAGCCGTTAGCCTGTGGCCATATCTGCATGTCAGGCTTCCCCATTTGGAAACCAGCTTGCTGAACAATGTAGGACTTGCAAACAATTTTTCACGCGTCTGGCAATTGTGTTATGGTGATAATCTGCCAGATTTCTCTTCTTTTTAGAGACTGCTTCTTTTGATTTTCTTCAGAGAGTGAAAAACCTTCATATTTTCCCCATCACTTGAAATTCAAATGACACAATCTTTTCCTTTTTTTCACGGACTTTTTTATATGTTCAGAAAATTGTGACCTGATGAAGCTGTGCCATCTTTCATGGTTACAGTTTTGAGTTTAACCCAACAACACATTTAAACGATACATTCAAAGAAAAAAAACTGAAGGGAAAAATTAGTGGTCTTTCGCTTCAAATTTTTTTCATTACTTTCTTTTGTTACGAAACACTTTTCTCTCTGCTTACATTTATTTATATTTTTTCTCTCTAAAATAAGCTACCCTAGACTCTGAATACTGAGATTCATGTTATATTAGTCTTTTTTTTTGTGTTGTTTCAAATTTATACTTTCGACTATGTATGTGGAATGGTTTGAAAAGGCAGAGCCACATTTTCAGTCCTATACCCTGTCTAGCAATAAGAATGTACTTATATTAAACTGGAGAGACATCGTTCTCATTTTCTATCAAGCTCTGAGTTGCTACCTTTTTATTATTTCTTGATTTGTCTATTCTGATCATTCTACTGTGGGAAAGTCAACTTTAATGTAAAGTTTGGATTAAAGTATGTTGAAATTATCCATTTTTTAAATGTGACCTGCCAATCCAAACTAAAATGGATTTTTATCTTTCCTTTTAAGGGTAAGATGGTGAAGGGAATGGGAGGAGCCATGGATTTGGTGGCCAGCGCTGGAACTAAAGTGGTGGTGACCATGGAGCACTCAGCTAAGGTTTGTAAAAGTGGCTTTGTTTAATCTAACCAGTATTGCATGTTTAAGAATCCCAGACTACTAATTTTCTGTGGAACTCCCAAACCCAATTAAAATTAACTGTCAATTTCCTTTTCACATGATGGGAATCTTCTTCAGGAGCTTTTATAGCTGCTTCTTATGATAATGACTGAGTGACTGAACAAGTATATTAATGGCTTGCTTAATGTCTTCCCAGAGAACATCCTGATGAGGTTCAATACTGAAACCATCCCCTGTACATCAGTTTTAACCAAATTTATTACAAGTTTACAATTGGACTCTATGTTTTTGGGAAGGGCTGTTTTGAAAGACTTATGCCCCAACTCAAGATAGATTAATTACCCTCCTTACAATAGATTGCTGCAATCAATCTTATATGGGATTACTTTTAGAAAGTTAAAACTGACATCATGCAAGGGTGCGGTAAGATTCTCTTTACAGAAGCATGTTGTCTTTTGCTAATGGGATTCTTGTCTGGCACCCCGCTACGGTCCAGATGGTGCAGCAGGTGAGCATAAATTTACTGCTCTGGAGCCTGTTTTCATTTACGATGGGAAAGGGGTGGATGATGTATGATGCACTTTTCAGACAGCAATGCAGCCATATGTTTATGCCTTTATTTTTCTTTAAGGTGACATAAAGAGGAAACTGAGACACTCGCATGGAAATATACTTAATGTTCTTTGATTTGTTTTCCCTAGAAGTGACCCTTCTTTTAATTAATCTTTTCTTTCCAGGGAGGAAAACACAAAATATTGGACAAATGCAGCCTGCCTTTAACAGGAAAACAGTGCGTTGACCGGATCATCACAGAAAAGGTGCAGTTTTGTAGTTTTGTGCATGCGCTCGACCTTGGCAAATGTGCTTTTGAAAGCCTAAACTTAAATTAAATCACTGAATGAAAGGACATGCTATTAGTCCTAAAATCATACTGCTCATGTTGGCCTTCACATTATTTTAAGGAACAGAAGATCATTCTTCACAATAGACCAATATTGGAAAGAAAGAGACGCATAATGTGCTTATAAATGACCTGTGATACATAAGAGGCTACAATATCCAACCTTCCCATTCAGAAACAAGTAGACTTCACCGGACCTGCTTTATGTCATCTGAACTTCCTTACGAACCCTATCTAAACTCTTACTGAATGTCTTGTTGTGCAATTAGGAACCTGACTGGTTGTGTCATGATTTGAATGAAGTTGCCAGGTTTATTCCTAATTATAAACAAAGATAGCTCTTAATGATGTCAGAGGAAGTGTCATGTTTTAAACCTCTCATAAGAATAGACGGATAACCACTTGTAACTAGTCACCAACTTAAACCAGTGCGCTACTGTTATGATTTTTCTGACAGGAATGAACATTAGTCATATATAATATCTGACAGCTACACAAGTCTGGTAATACAATAAGCTGAAATAAGATTATATAAGGTGTCCTACTTGTCTAATTAAGTCTGAAATGCAAGCCTATATTACTAAGTTATTTTAAAACTGCAGACCTGAAATACAATGCATTTGTTTTTTAGCTCCGCTTTGCCTAGAGATTGTTTCACCCAATTCTGTTAAATTGTGGTGTGTCCATCATTGCACAGTGCGATGTATGTTTTTTATTTTTAGTTTCTGACAAACTAATGATTCTTTTGCACAAGTACCTTTGCAAGTAAAATATATATATTTTTGGATTGCTATCTATAAAAAATATTTGTGTAACTGGGTGATAAATGTGATTTCTACAAGGTATAAAATCATTGATGATGGATTCAATTAATATTTTCACCATTTGTTTTCTGTCAGTATGTAACATAAAACCTTCAGAAAACAGCACAGCTAATCAATACATTTCCATTGTTTTATTGAACTGTATTTGTGTTTTGTTCTTACTATAGGCCTGTTTACCCTGAAGGAGTTACTGACTAAAAATGAAAATCAATAAGGTGACCGACCGATCGTGGGTTTGAATTCGTTTTTGTTCACAGCCAGTGAGTTTCCTGATTATACCAGCAATAAACGGGGCACATAGAGACCATGAACCCATTAGACACAAGTCATAAACACTGCTCTCAAATGCATTTCCCACTCACACATACATTTGAAAACGATTAGAAGGAAGCAGATGATGGATTTAGTCTTTTAACACTAATTTATATCTGTAAGGTGGTTACATTGTTTTAAATGTATTTTTACTGGGACGCATTTTTCTCTCGTGATCATGCAATTTGATGTCACTCCCATCTCACCCCCAAGGCCCTTCTTTTAATGTCATTTGACTCCTGTTCTGTTTTTGTAGCCACTGCTCTGTTTCTGTGTGTCCTTCTCTGTTCTGTGCTGAAACGTGAGAGACACCCAAATGCTCAGTGAGAGCAGTTTAGGAACATCTGACTGAAGTTCTGGTTCATAGGCTCTCTCCTCTGAAAAAGTATTTTACCTTCATATGAAGGATTATTGGGTTCGTACACCAATAACCAACAAGGTTTTTGGTTTTCCGAAGGAAAGTATGAGACACAATTTGAAATATTTTTTTCCTGTTATTTATTGCTTCTGTATTTATGCTTCCCCATAAGCATTCATGGCTGCTCAGCGCACTCATATCATGTGCGTGCATCTTCTTTTCTAGTGTGTGTCTGATTTACCGGATGCTGGTTTGGAGTTGGTGGTTTCCATTTTTCATTTGCAAAACAGATACCACAGAGTGAACTTATGGAATGCACAACATCCTCATTAGCACCCTAATGCTCCATTATGAAATGAAAGAGGATTGATATTTGGTGGTAAAAAACATAAGGGAAGATTACCGAGACTGGAAAAGGGAGTGGGTGAGACACTGCCCAGAGAGAAGTTTAAGTAGCTCCTAAAGCTTCTTGCTGCTGTAGTTTTTGAATGCATTCGTCTCCTAATTACCCTCACGGGGTTTCTACTTTTGAGGCAAAGATGGCCCATTATGCGCTGAAAGTCAGTGTTTCTGTGCTCCCACAACCCCACTCCTCATTCTCAACTGGTTTAGGTGTGATGCACATTATTTGTCAGCAAGCGTCAACCTGTCAGCATGTATAAAGGTTAAAGCCCCTTCTATAACCCCGTAAGCCTAACACCGCATTCTCCTCACCAGCTTTCCCGTTTCAGTTTCTACATTTCCGGCTCTCCACAGTCTCCCTTGAATTCATGCCCAGCTGTCTACCATCTTTTTGTTTTCCCTCCCCACACACCTCATTTACAACTTAAGTCATCAAAGCATGCCCTTTGAACACTTTTAAAAATGCCCTGCCCCTCATCCACAGCAAACCAGCATCCTGAACCAAAGCATTATGTTGGGAGTTTTTGACGTTGCCAGCCTCCCTTTGTTGTCCGGCTAGAAAAACTGAACTGAAAAAATTCAGACATCCAACTATTCAAACATGTCATTTTGTCACCCTCTTAGATTCTTGGCAGCAGTTTTGTGAGGTCAACCTTTTTGCTATCCCCAGCTGCTTGTTGCAACAATTATCTGACAGCGGGCCTTCAAGAAAATAGATCAAATTGTGATTTTGTGTACTGGTTAGGTGCAAAGCTAAGTTAATTCCAATAAATGTGATTATTCAATGTCTGATATTGATATTCAGTTTTTTTAAAGACAATTGTAGTAATATATATTAAGACAATTGGATGAAAATCAAACACAATGCATTTACTCTAAACATTTGCATATTGGAGTTTAGATGATCAATTTTCTTTTTGTTTAAGACCTGCAAACATGCTACTCTTTTGTGTCATTCCAACATTCTCCGGTTGTTTGAATGTACATCGCTTAGAACGTCCTGATCATCATGCTAGGATCTCTGTCAATGCAGAATAGTGGCGTTTTTTTTTTTGTTTTGTCTTAATAATTTAAGTATACTGAAGGCAGGAATGCTAAGATCAAAAAGGAAAGCTGTGGAAGGGGCACACCAACAAGCCTTCCTTAAATATTGCTAAAAGTTGAATTGTTTTAATTGGATACAGCAAGTACTAACCTGTATCTCTTGTTGTGCACGTTTGATAAGCACCCCTCAGTCAACTTAAGAGGAAAATCTTACAGTAGACTTTATCCACATCAATAAGATTTTTATTTTGTTGCTTAATAGACGCATGCTCTTTTCTAATATTGGTCCATTATTAACAGTGTCTAGGGCTTGTTTCATGAAGGCCAATCATTTCCAGTGTTATCAAACTTGCATGTGGAAGTCTTTGAGGAATAATTTCACCAGTGTGAAAGTAGGACCATACTCTGCTCCGCCGCCATCCTTCTCCATGACAACTGAGACGAGGAAAAAGACTTATGTAATTATTAGAAAACGCACTTCCATAAAAACATCCTCTTTTTAGGGTCTGTGGAGAAACCTTCCCAGCACATTAACAGCGTTACATGTAATTGTCAAAATGAAATGGGGCTGCAGCAGTGAACACCGGCAACACTTGTTTCAGCCAATGTTTCTACACCTGGTATCACATCACCAATTGCCCAGTGTGTGAAGTCATGTGTTATACTCGGATGGATAAATCCTGGAGCTTTGTGTTCTACATTAGGCAACAAGGCTGTTCAAATCTGCTTTTAGGCTGTGAATTTTTTTTTTTACTGTATTGCTCACCCGAGGTAACGTCTGGCAATAGAAAATGGGTAAGCATAAAACAAGAAACAAACAGTACCCTAATAAGCTTGATATTAAATGCATCATAAATGCATTCCCTAATGGTTCGATCCTTGCAATTTTAATGAGTTAGGCTCCAAACTGTTTTCCTAAACGAGAGCAGAAAGGGGCTTCTTAAAACACATGCAAAGATGTTGATATACACAACATATACGCACAACTACATGCCCATCTGTGCTCCTGTTGGCCGGTAGGATGGTAAATCGAGTGCTGTTCTAAATTGTTTTTTTTTTTTCTTTACTTGGGCGGGTGGAAACCTCTTGCCTCAGGCAGTGTCTGTGCTGCCCCTCGTTGTTGTTGAATCATCTTATGTTTCCATTTCTCCACTTTTAACCACAGGTGCCCTGTTTATAAGTGTCTTTGCTTGAAGCCGCATCATTAAAATGATGGAATGGTTGAGTCATACGAGTGAGTAAATCACATCACCTCTGTGGTCCTCGTGGCATAAGCTGCTCACAACGACCTCTACTCCATCTCTCTCTGTAGTTTTCTCTCAACACTGAGTTAGGAAATTAATTCCTGATGTGTTTTTTAAAGATTAAAACTGTCTCCATTTTTGCAAGATGAAGCAAAAGACCAATCATTTTCAGCAAACATAATGAGCCCTAGAAAATGTTTCCTTTCTCATTGAGCATAATAACAGCACTACTTTTGATTGTAGTAATAACAGCAGCAACCAAAGTGAAAGGATTTTATCCGTATATTCTTCAATTTTCATTTGAATAAATTAACTTCTTGTAAACGTGTGAATGTACATTTATGCATTTAACAGACACTTTTATCCAAAGCGACTTACAAAAAGACACTTTAACATTCAACTACAACACCAGTTATACACTTACCTCGAGTGCAATATGCTAGAAGAGGATTTAACAATAAGGATTTAACATTCAACTATGACATTACAAAAGTACCATATATTGAGTGCTTTATGCCAATAGGAAAAAAGTTCATTTAGAGCTTTGAGAACAAGAGATACTCTCTGAAGAGCTGGGTCTTCAAGAATTCAACAACTTAGGGAAATCAATGGAGATCAGTGAACAGGGGTGTGACATGTGCTCTCTTTGGCCGGTTGAAAACCAAACGGGCTGCAGCATTCTGGACCATCTGTAGCGGTCTCACAGCAGAGGCTGGAAAGCCTGTTTTATTCATGTTGTCATTTTCTTCGTGTTGATATTTTCTTGCTTACAACAAGAGGGTAACGTCACATCCTGTTTTGTTCGTGCTAGGCAACACCTCTCATAGAATACCAGATTTTGAATGAGCACCGTTTATGAATCTGGTTTGTGATGGTAGTTTGAAGACTGTGGAGAAAGGTGACTCAACAGTTTCACAAGTAATTGCAACATGAGGATTAGTTCTATGTTTTTATTAAAAAAAAAAAAGAAATTATGAACTGATATGGATAACAATACCCATTTGTGTCCAGCTGTCCTACATTTAGAGTTAAACTTATGTTGACAAATGGCAGGATCAGTCATACAGTAACTGAAGATCTTGAAATTCTGTGCAGTACTTGTGACAAATGTCACAATTAGAGATGCACATCACTGTCTATTATCCATAGACCTTTGTTCCTTGTAACATTCCATCTGTCTCGCTATGTCATAGTGAGATATCTGCCTCCTGCCCTGTCTCTGTGTGGGGTTGTAATGAGCTGAAGCTCATGGGGAGCTTTGCCTTAGCGTGGCTTTTGAATTTCCTGTCAGTCTCTGCTGAGAAAGCAATAGTTGGACAAGTGTGAGTAACTGGTCCTGAAATTATGTTGCATTGCCTGTATAATTAAGGGTTATTGTGCTTTGCTTAGTAAAGAAAGCACACAAAGCCATCCACTGACCAGTTTACTTCTTTAACTTTTCAGTTCTCTTGTGACAAAATTAATTAGTAACCACTGCAACACCGTATTTTTAAGTTGGCATTTTCCTTTGAAAAGCATAAATCAGATTATCTCGGCTTTGACTCTCTTTTGTTCAGATGACACTGATTTTCATTGCGTTCCCTGTTTCCTCAATGTTGTTGTAGCACCAGTCATCCATCAGTGAATAAGATTAGTCTATTAAGGTTTTGTACTAAGGTATGTCATAGTATGTGGAAATAAATAAATAAATTAATATACTTTCACCTTCAAAGTGAATGATGTGCCTCAATTAAAAAGAAGAAAAAAACTAAAGATTAAGCATAAAATAATAGATATGTTTTAATAGTAGAGTTTTAGTAACACTAGTAAAGTGTGGCTGTGGTGTGTTTGGTGTTCTTTGGAGAGATTCTTGAAGATGGGGAGGAATGCTTCTGCTCTGCATTTGATGGGTAATTTCACATTTTGTTGAACCACAAATGAAAACAAAGTTGGAACAATCCTCCATTTTTAGCCAAAATAGATGAGCTCCCATGAGCAGTCTGATTTCCAAGTGAACGATTCAGCAACAAGTGTTTGCACCTGTGACGAGTCTGTGTTGCCAGCTGGTAAATAAAGCCTTGGCTTTGTGCTTGCTGTTGTTCTGCTCTCCAAAAAAAACCCAAAAAACAGTTTAAAGTGAAAACTCTGCAGTGTTCTGGGAAAACTGTCGTTTAGAAGACGGAACAGGATGCATGAGTTTTCAGTTTCGGCTGTGTGAAAACATTCAAACAACTGCAGTTTGCACAAATGTGATTAATAGCCTTTGGGAAACAGTTTGAGACTACCTCTAATCAGGTCACTTTTTTGTGGCAAGATATCTTAAACTAAGCAAATATATGAGTGACCCCCTCAGCTTGTTTTACTTTAATGGTGATCTATCACATTTCAGATACGTTATTCTTATACTACCTTTCTCTCATGATTAAACTTTTTAAAGGTTGTGCGACGATTTTTATGTAATGGCTCAAATGTCTGTGGTGGGTCAGCTCCAGGGAGTTGGGGGGGGGGGCTTCTCTCTGAAGCCTCTTTTGGACGTATCACCAACAATTGCTGCTATTTTTCATCTCATCTATGGGTGACATTGAAGTGGCACTCTGACCTCCTGACTGAGCCACTTATGTTTTTTTAGCAAGTTTATTTTTCCCTTTAAGTCCTGATAATCAAGTCACATTGCTGTACATCATTCAACCCTCCAGACACACCATAGGGGCTTAAACCAGAAATAATTAATCTGCTTTTCTTCCCTTTTATGTCTAAACACCAACTACGATCACTCAGATTAAAACCTATACCCTCTGCCTTTCTACCAGGCTGTGTTCGATGTGGACAAGACAAAAGGCCTGACTCTGATTGAAGTTTGGGAGGGGCTCACTCCAGATGATATAAAGGCATGCACTGGCACAGATTTTGAGGTGAGTGATGCAGTTTGGCCACCCGTTCCATAATGCGTTTCCTGACCTTAAGTTTGAGAAAAATGCTACATCTCCCTTCTCCTTGTGTCGTATCCAGGTGTCTCCCAACCTGAGGCCTATGCAGCAAATTTAGAGGAGCTTCCAGAGGCTCAGAAGATGTGTTTTTGGTTTGTGCTGCTTCATTTCTCTGTGATAAACAGCTGGTGATGTAATGGTATGAATTGGGTCAAATATGCTAATGAAACAAATGCTCGTTTCGGTTCTCCGGCAATAGGAATGCCAATATGAGAAGGATTTAGTGTACAACAAGGATAACTGAATAGGACTAACGGGAGCTGACATCAGTGGCTCCAGTTGTGGTGTGATGGAAGAGTTACACCATGAAGGTTTTTTGAAACTTTAGTCTTCTTGTGTGCAGCTTTTACCAAATCATCTTCCATAGGAAAATGATGATCAATCTGAAAATAATCTTAAATGCTGTAGGATAATTTCTAGTATTTCTAATGCAGTTGAGTTAATAAATTTAGATGAGATGTAACAGATGATTTGTAAAAGTTAAAATAAGAGAACACAAGGGTGTTGTAGGTCAACCGAAGACTTGTTCGTCTCAGATGGTTGTTCGACATTAGGGTGTAACAAATGAGAGAAAAAATCTTTATGCAATCTCATATTTTTGCCTTTGAAAATCAGGAAAGCGTTGTAATGTAGGTCACATGTTTGCAGACATCACTTTTGCCATAATGCCAACCTCTTTTCTCTTTTACCTGGTATAACTCAGCGAAACAAATATGCAATAAGCCTTAAGATTTTTTATTCACATACTTGTTCCCCTGTGTTTGTATATAAAATAAAATGCAACATTGTGTGCTGTGTGAAGCAAGTGTCCTGTGGCTGGTTCATTATGTTTTGTTGTAGTAGAATAAATAAAACCAAAACAGTTAGCTCCTCATATATTAGTTGAAAATAAAAAAAACTGCCAGTGAGTAATACAGGTTAGAATTTTCTGTATATAGATGGTGGGCTTACATTGGTATTATTTATGTGATTTCTCCACTTGAGTAGAGAGACACGGTCATTTCCTGAGGGCTGTTTTATAACTGGAGAATTTAGCCAGTAGGATTTGGGGTTCAAGAAGATCAACTGGGTTGGATCATCAAGCAGAAAAATGGATGAAAGTGACAGGAGCCTTTGCCACTGGCCACTGATGTTAATCCGCTACATCCCCTTATGAGCCGAACCTGAGCGGCAGCCCAGAAACCTACATCACCTATTTCCCCTTCTTGTAGTCAGATGCTGGACGTAGGGCATTTTTAAGAAACATGGCAGGCTGTAACGGCACCAAATGTCTGATGAGTAGGAGAGAAGGAACGTACTTTTAGAATACAAAACTGTAAAGAATAAATTTAGCAAATTTAGCTGAAGAGAGCAATTGCATGCTGTACCACCACACCAAAGAGTATTCAGATATCTGGCAAATCAACGCCATGCTTTGATGAAATGAGCAAAAAAACAAACAAACATGTAATATTGTATTATGGAAGCTTCAACATGATAAAATGAACGTCTGTTTTACAAATGAGTCAAAAGAATATACTATTATGTGGCCTAACTTTGGTAATAATCAATTCTATTGTTCCATCCCATTACATTTGGGTTGCTTCTATATAATCTACAGTGGTTAATCCTTACATTGCATCAGTCAAACTATTTTGTGGTCCCAATCATGGTAATGGGATGCATGAAATTAATTCTAAGTAAATAATTTTCAAGATGGAAATGCTTCCAATGATTCTGTGCACTCAAAGATATCTGTTGGACTGGCATCGTTCATTCATGCCTCACATTTCCATGGTAATTTTTTTAAATCTCTTAGAAATGATTTACCAAGGCTGTACAAATATTGGTTAGTAGGCATATTACTTGGACCTAATCCTCAGTTACAATGACTTATATTTTTAATCTAAAGTCAAGTTTAAATTGTATGAATTTGCTGCATATGGCCTAGAATAATGCAGGTAAACTCTTGTTCATTCAACAAGTCATGCTTATTCAGTGAATGTTAAATCAGGTCATTCAACCCAATTAAGCTCAGTCAGCCCTTATGAATTTATAGTGTCAACCCTACTGAAGTTTAACCAACCAAACTATACTAATGTCAAACACTGAGATTGTTTTTTTTATGATCTTGGTAAAGAAAATTACGTTTTTGATGTGTTTGATGTATATACAATCAACAAAGACGAAGCATTTCACAAATCTAGTCTCAAAACACTTATGTAAGAATATTTCTTTTTTTTAAATCAAACTAGCTGATTATTCCTTTTTTTTTCATAGAATTTGAATATGTGGGAAAGATATCTTCTGAGGCTCAGGGGAATGCCAGTCATTTTTAATGAGCCACAAAGATGCTATTCTCACTCTTAATACCGGTTTGACCCATTTTCTGAATGACTCACGTTAAGGTGGCCTGCATGCCAGCTGATGATCACCACAGATTATGTCAGGGATTCTTTGTCAGTGATATCTTAATTGCTGCTGTACTGAGTCGCATCCATGATCATCTTAGTTATTATACAGGCCCTGACGAGAAGCAGCTTGGGATCAGGTAATGAACAACAATGAACACATCTTCGCAAAGTAGGCCCAGGAAAAAAAAAAACATGCTCGTGCAGAAATGACATAATGACTACTTTGTGGCATCGGCCTGGTGAATCGTTGACTTTGACCAGTGCCTAACAGCTGCTATGTTCTGGATAGGCTTTAACGCGCAACAGTCAAATCGTAGCTTCTCTCCCAAATTCTATTAGGAGAAAACGCTTGTGCGCTTTTATGCGTTGCATTGCTGCTTCCTGAAGGTTAACAATTTAACCACAGCATGCACGCGCGTCAGTGTTGCAGCTCGGTCACGTATTTTACGTCTACCCACCGAGTGTTGCCATATTTGGATCAGTCCAACCGCATTTTCATAATTGTGATACCCGCCGCTGTGCTCCTGCTCAAGGGGGCGTGGACACGCTTCTGCCTGTGTGTGTGTGTGTGTGAGGGAGTGAGAGAGAGAAGCGAGGCTGTGCGTGTGTGTGCATGTGTGTGTGCATGTGTGTGTGCGCATAGAGAGGGAGACAGTCAGCGCGCACTCCAGGTTGGCGCAGGCATCGGTCCGGGGAAAACGGAGCGTTGTGCAGAGGTGGCAGCATGGCTTCGTCTCACGGGAGAAGCGACATGCGGTTCGCAGACTGGATGGCAAGTTTACCGCAGGGCATGCACACCATCCCGCTCACCAACCTGGCCATTCCCGGTAGGTGCTTTTTTTTTTTTTTCCCACTGCCCCCCATCCTTATCATTCCCAAAGATGCCCAGTTATTGTCATCGTGCGTTTATTCTAAGCCACGATAAAAACGCGCCGATAAGATGTGCTGAGCTTCATCTCGGTGGGTAGTTTGCCACTTTTTCAACTTTGAAGTTTTCATGCGTATTGCAACTCCAATTGCGGGACTTCTGTGCATAATTAGAACAAAGGGAAGGACCTGTAGCGCAACACGAGAAGTGCTCCCCGTTTTTCTGGGCTCAACTTGACTGCGTTATCTCCGTAAAAACCCAGGTGACTGACGTCTTCTGGTCCCGATGGGGAGAGAGAAAAGCTAAAGAGACGCAGAATAAATGGACAGCTCGCTTTAGTGTTTGACTTTGGGCGTTTTTTTTTTACCGGGGTGGTGGCCAAAGGGGAGAGGAGACGTTGCAGATGAGTTTAGACTGTGCGCTCAGAGGATGATATGAAATGAGCTGTTAAAGCTTTAGCCAATCAGTGTCCAGGTCTCCCAAACTCCATTCAAATGGAAGATGCATGGTTGTAAAGCCTTGTGATAATCTGACTCATGGAATGGCTTATAATCAACCACAATTCCGTATCTGCTGCCGAGTGATTATCACACCTCCATATAAAGCGCGCTCATTCTTCATTTTGCTGTATTCCTAATCCCCTGCACCCCCCCCCCCCACCCCCCCACCCCTCTCCTTATTCTTTTCCTCCGACTGAGTTCCACTCTCCTCATCTCTCCTTTCTCACCAATCGACCTGTGTTTATACGGCTGGCATGTGGAATCATGGCATTCCAGATGCAGATGGTCTTGATGCTCAATATCCAGTGAGGCGTGGCATTTATATTTTTTATTTTTTAACCAGAACTGACCACAGCATCCTGAGAGGATGCTCACGGACACATGCGTTTCCCCATTCATTTCGTCCGGTACCAACTGGGATCTGATCTGAGACAGCATGGCATGCAAGCCTGACGTTTTTTTTTTTTTTTTTCTGAATCACAGGGACTGCGCTGTGTTGCACCACAGGTTGGCCGTGCCAGAGCAGCGCGCAAACGCGTTCTGCTTCATTTAATTACGTGTCATTACTTACTGCTTCTGAGCTCTGAGTCTCTTCTTAGTGCATCCTTCCTTTTTTGATTGAAGATTGTGAAAACATTTCTCAAAAAAATCGTGGCACCTTCTTGGAGCGCTTTTGCACATTTGGCATAATGTTTACCAAGATTAAGCCTCCAATCCTTTAGGATTTTCTGAGGCCTTTTTTTAGCAACAGCACATTTTCATCTTGGGGTGCAGGCTGGATCTCTGTCAAGCATATCTTATATCGCACTCTTTAGTCTCTGAACGCAAGCAGTTTTATTTCAAGCAGAAATCAAATTGAGACTCAAAAGAAACTCACAAAGACTCACAAAGATTTGTGATGAAACATTTCGCCCCTTGCACGAATGTAATCTCTTCTCAACTTGCTTAAAAATACTGTTTTACACAATATTTATGAGCTGCCTCTCCCCATATCTGACATTACCACTTCTTCTACCTGTAACGTAGCCATGCTGCTTTATTTTTTGATAAAAATCCCATAATGACCTTCTGTATCATTAGCAATTCTTTTCGTATGAGGTATTGTGCAGGGGAGGGATTTGTGTGGATAAGGACAATACTGTTGTGTGTCACACATTACTCAAACTAGCGTCGGATCCAGAACGAGGCCGGGCAGCAGCAGCTGTGGGTCAGCCTGCACCTGCATACCAAATGTGCTGTTGCTGTTACCTCTGATCTCCTTCCCTAATTTAGAAACCAGTTCAAACGCTGTATCGGTAATGATGCAAATTATGAAGTCTCCACCTCTGTCCTGTAATGAACTGTTGAATACAGGCTGATTTGTGTTGTTGCGGCTGTGTTTGTGTCCAGCGCATGAGGGGAGTCAATTTAGAAAATCGCTCAAAAGATTCAGAGGTTAGTGGACCAAAAGATAATCACTTCAGTCCATCATTGAGACGGAGGTGGAGGCGGCAGAGGTGAAGTGCAAGTTAATCTAAGAGTGACCCAGCTCATTTGAGCACGTTGGAGCATAGCTTATTTATGAGTAAAAAAAAAAAAAGAGTCAACCAAAGAATAGTGCACATGTGACATTCTTGACAGTGAGATAAATCAGTTACTACCTAATGCATCCATCCATGTTCTAAATCCACTTATTCCACCTCAGGCTCGGGAGGGGCTGGGGCCAATCCCAGCTTCTTTAGATCCATGTGTATTTAGGGAAGTGCTTTGAAAGCTTAGTAAATGGATCTATGGGCTCTGATAGAAATGCTTAATTTTGTTGACTGTCTAGTCATAAAATCGCAGTTACAGCAGGCTACTACTCTTTGTCTCCCGGTGTGTTCAAGTGTCATGATTTTCCTTAAAGCTCTACAGTACAAGGTACGATATCAGTGCAATGATACAGACCATTACTGAATGAGCAATTTTTTGACTGCAGTGGAATACAAAGATGGTCTTGAGCCCTGCAGCTTTTTTTTTAGGAACAAGCGTAGTTTAGTAACTAGTTAGCAGTCTTTCCTCGTCCTCTTTCTGTTCCTCAGGTTGTTTTGGCATGCTGATTGGAGAAAGCTACTTGCAACCGCCAGAGAAAACTAAATTACATTGCATCTTCCTGTTTGGTTGCACAATAAAAAAAGCTCTCAGTTTAAGATGGAATTTTTTTTTTTTTTTATTTCCTGGGAGATTTTACACCCATTGACAGACTTAATTATATCCCTAAAGCGAGGCCCATAGAGAGAACCCATCTAAACGGTGTTGGTGTCATCAAATATAACCATTACCTTGTTCAATTAACATTTGCATGATTATAGTGGGATATACCAAAAGCATGTCTCTTAGAAAAATTATCCCCCAGAATCTGTGAGTTACAGTAATCAACAGGCAAAATGATCAAGACTCTAGCACTATCTCTCTTTTCCCTGGATGCAGATTAGGGAGTTTTAGGTGTCAATAGTTTTAATTAAAATAAAAATACAGCCTCATATAGTCACTGGAACCAGATAAAACACACTATGAGAAAAAATGGGCTCTGAAATAGAGAGATGGAAGATTCAGAGGAAAACAAGTGCCATCAGTCCACAGTAAGAAGAAAGAAGAGATTTATTTTTAGAGTATGCCTCAAACATGTTGAGATGGTGAAAGAAATGATTGATTCTGTCAAAAGAAAACAACACGACTGACTAAAATGCCAAGATTATCGGAGCCTATAGACGCCAGTGACTCATTTGTCACCTGGGGGAGAGCTGACTCAGTGGTGTTGTGAAAATTGATTTAGGACATTCAAGAAAAATTCAATGAGCCGTGAAAGAACTTTTTTTTTTGTGAGCACTACCTTATAACAATTTTAAGGAAGGAGGCTATTGGGCGACAACCATGTAGATTTTTTTCCCCTTTTGTCTCTTAAAAATCTGAGGGCTGGAGGGAGGATACGTCCTGACTGATGGGTGGTTATTTAAATCACTAGAGTTAAAGAGCTGCACAGTGTGCTGTGATTCATGACACAGGGCTGCAAGATTTTGGTTGTGTCAATCATTTGAGAAGAAGAATACACGTTTGTGAGAATCATCCTACTGCGGACGTGACAGCTTCTCTTTTCTCGACAACACACAATGCTTTTGTGTGCATTACGGGAACTTTGGGGTAGGATTCTGATAGGTGAGGAGGGATGATGTGGGAGGCAAAAAAGACGTAGTCGATTAAATACGCTGACGTGTACCTGACTGGCCAGGCCGAACAGTGAGAGACACGGTAGGCTGTTTTGCTAAAACTAGACCTGTGAGGTACTGTCGCTGATGAGAACTGCCTGGCTGCACATTTTTCTGGCTGAGTTTGCCTGTGGTGGTGCGCCAAAAATAATGTGGATCTGTCCCTCTGTGGTTCTGTCACCTATGAGAAGAGAAAAATACTTTCAGTGCTTAAAAAAACTTCTCGTTTTAATGTGAAAAACACATTATTTGTGTATTGTACTCACTGGAATGCATCTGTTTCATGCAGGTTTGGCTACCTTATACATTTTGTGATAGGCCTTCAATATCTCCAAGGTTTTCACTTATTATTAAAGAAGGCTATTGAAGATGTGATATGTCGTGGTGAAGAGGCAGAGGGCAACCAGCTGAATACCTTTTGTCTCATAGTCTCCATTGAGTTTGCAGACATTGGGTCACAAGACACTGATGCTAAGTGTCTTAAGGTCACGTTTTTTTCATTGACTCTATCTCAATGTAAACACTGAAAGGAGATTACCTAAATGAAAACCTTTGCACTTTTAATGCAAATATTTTTCTCAGATTGCTCTGAGTTTGTGGTGATGGTGAGAAAAATACAGTACATCACATAATTTCTGTTGTGTTAAAGCTCTACTAACAAATATTTGTCCAGTCATACAGACACAATAAATAGGTTATTTTATTTTTTCTCCCCCCCCCCCCCCTCCCTTAGCAAAGTGATTTATTCATTCTTTAATATAAACAATGCCGACTGGTACAAATTGACTATTTGATTAAAGATCATGACATTCACTGGGGTAAGAGATGAAACACTCTACATCCCATTTGGAAAAAGTGGTATGTTTACCTCTGGAGAAAAATATCTTTATTTCAAACAGGCAAACTACTAGACGAAGAAGATTCTGTTCCTTGGTGATGCAGTGGCCTCATAACACAAGTATCAGATTTGCATTGGACTCAGGGGACCCATTCCTAACCATCTGAATAGCTTGCTGTAACAATTTTTAGGTTTTAGTTAAGAAATAAATTGCATGCATTTTGCCAAAGGAGACAAGTGAAGGCAATGGAATTAAATAAAGATTGTATTGTTGTCAATGGAAGCAAATTATTTTGTGGTCCCTCCAGTCTTTGTGTTTGTCTCTGGGTTGGAAAAAGAGGCCAGTTCTCTATTTTGTCAGGCTCATTTATGCCCTTAAACAAGGACAACTATTTGT